AAAATCATTACAAAAAGAACTATCAACATCTAGACTGGTAGAGGAAACCGTTGAACTCATTAATAGGACTATCACCAGGTATGAGAATAGGGTAACCCTCGTATGGATACCTGCTCATAAGGGGCACTATGGCAATGAGGAGGCGGACAGCCTGGCCAAGGAAGGTTCAAATACTGAGTTCGTCGGACCACAACCGGTATTACCCCACTCTTTAAGCACAGCAAAAGAGAGTATAGGTAGCTGGGGCATGAAACAATTCCTAAAGGAATGGAATATGTCCCCAGGATGCAGACAATCGAAGGAGTTTCTGAAGGAAATCAAACCTAAAGAATCGAAATGGCTATTCTCTAACTCTAGGAGGGGAATAAGGAGGCTGATAGGTATCCTAACGGGCCATTGCCCCTTGAGAAGACACCTCTTCATAATGGGTACTCTACCAGACCCCTTCTGCCGCTTCTGCGAAACAAAAGAAGAAACGGCCCGACACTACCTCGCAGAATGCGATAGGTATGCTAGGGAAAGATTTAATACTTTCGAAGGAGAGGACATAACCAAAACACTCCCCAGGATAAAATGGTCCACAATCCTGGGGTTTGTGAATAGGTCCAATAGGTTTATACAGGACTCGTGAGCCGACCAGGTCCCGGACTTGCTAGGGATGGGGTACGGGCCTACTCAGGCTTTTAACCCCTCGGGTCCTGGTCGCCCGCCCTGTGTAATATGTAATATATAAATAAAAACATTTTATATACATAATTTAAAGCTATTCTAAATATTATTTTCTTATCCTAGATCAAAAAAGAATCTACTGATATATAATAACCTTGAAATATATGCACAACAACGGTAGAAACCCATATTTAAAAAATAATTACTTAATAAAACATTTTTTCCGGTTCCTAGGGACCTTCGGGAAGAAAGCTCGGATACATGACTAATTTCTTTCGACCTAGTATCACCAAAAAAAGTTCATTTAAAATAACTAATCCATTGTCCATAGCTTTTTAAGTGTTAGATGCATCGACCAGTTTTTTTACTCAGGAATAATCTGGACCACGTTATGGTCTTGTTGAACAAGTAAATTCAATTTTTATTGAAGCTTTCGACCTATTTTAAGGTCATATCGGGGCAAAATAATCATAAATATGTCTGCAAAATTTACATAATTAAGTTTTTAATAATTTGAAATCGTCTATTAAAAACGAAAAATAAATATAGCCTCCTCTTGTTAGAATAATCTCCAGAACAATAAAGACATTGAAGACATAACACTTAAAAAACGTTGATTTTTCATACATACAAAATTTTAAAAAACATTATATTCTGGGCATAATTCTATCTTGACTAGACTGTGACAACCAACCTCAGGATTGTGGTGGTGGAGACTGGGATAGAAGCAGAACTGCAAGGACAGACCCGTAGCTTGTTACATTTTTTCCTACTATTGGGATGATGCAAAAATAACGCAGGTTTTTGATGTAGAAACTAGGGTCTCTGGAATTTGTTGAGATGCTAATGTTTAAAAAAAGTGGTAATCTTTAGGGGAAAGATCCGGTGAGCATGGTTGATAAGGTAAAGCCTAGTATAACCCAACTTATGAAGTCGTGCCAGAGTTCGTTGTGCGACGTGCGGTCGTGCGCTGTCGTGAAGGAGGATAGGCCACTTCCGATTGATTAATGCTGGCCATCGCAGTTTTCGATCCATCTCATTACTTTCATTACAGTACTGTTCAACAGTGATGGTTTCACCCAGAAGCTGTAATGAATGAGTCCAGCAGATGATCACCAGACAGTGACCTTAATTTTTTTGGACGTAAGCTTGGCTTTGGGAAGAGCCCTGGTTTTTCACTCTTATCCAGCGACTTCTAGAACGCTATTGTCGTATAATATCCAGTTTTCGTCACACTTTCCTACGCGACTGAGAAATGGATCATTTTTGTGCGGAAAGCATTGAACAGATTTCATACCTGTGATCCTTCTGGTAGTCGTTCAGCTTATAGCGGTCCGGTGGAAACACCGACGCTAGGCGCTCTTCGTATGAAATGTGTAAAAGGGAACATAAAAAAGACCATCCCTAAAAAACGTCACTTCAGTGTAGCACAATCGTTTGTCCTGTTTTGTTGTGTATTAAGAAGCTCGTCTACACCCAAGGTATCGATGTTGCAACATCATCCCAAAATTTGTCCTCATGTTCGTTTTTGTATAACAATTTGTAAACACTATATAATAATAGATGTTAAGACTCGTCAACCCGACGAGGTCTCACTAATCAGTACTTGAACACCGTCACCGTCATCGACAACGACAACAGCAAGGGTACTCGCAGCATTAGCCTGATTCTCGCCTTCTCAACACAGCCGACTTGGCTAAAAACGCCAACTGCTGCACTCGGTGAATTGCTTTCACTCGAGTCCCTTCAGCCACTGCGGAGTCAACCGACTCACGACCCCCGGACTTCAGCCAACGGTTCACTCGGTCACGGACCACCACTACCAACGACACACACACACGGTCCCGGTCTCGATCCATCTTCTCGACGCTCCGAAACAACCCCGGTCCTTTTCAGGGCCACCAAATACACCGGCATCTTGGGAGTAGACGAGTTTCTTAATACACAACCAAACAGGACAAACGATTGTGCTAGACTGAAGTGACTGACCTTTTTTAAGCATAGTCTTTTTTTATTTTTCCTTTTACACACTTCATGCGAAGAGCGCTTAGCGTCGATGTTTCCACCGGTCTGTTATAAGCTCATGCGGAACCCACTTGGCGAGCTTTTTTGTTTTCCCAATAGCTTCCAGATGGCGAACGACTATGGACTGGTGAACACCAAGTTCTTCCGCCATTTCTTGAGTAGTTTTTGTTGTCGGGTCAGTTTCAACTATAGCCTTTAACTGGTCGTTGTCAACAGCAGAAGAACGGCCACCAGCTTTTATGGTCGTGAGGTCTTAATCTCCATTAAGAACATTTTTGAAACCAACGCTGCACTGTGGATTGATTTATGGTTCCCTGCCCCCAAATGTCATTAAAGTTTCGAGCAGTTTGCCCAAGTTTAAATTCATGGAAATAAATTTGCCGAAAATTGCTCTTAGACAACATTTTGTTTAAGGCACTGAACAGACTAAATTAAATGTGTTTAACAAAAGGATTGTAAAAGAAAGAAAGCGAGATAAATAGGCTTTAAAATGATGCGTATCCCTTGGATTAATTTTGTTTACACAATTGGTATTAAAACTGAACCAACCGTTCCAAGCTTTGCACCCTCGTAAAATGGTAAGGCCGGCGTCACACTAGAGGGAATGCGACGGAGGTTTTCGTGACGGAAAATTCGCCTAACCCGAACAAGCCACATTTACAGCGAAAATTAACCGAATGGCTACAACGACTGTTTGGATATGCAGTTGATAACGTGGCTCGGTTGATCTTGTACGGTACAATGAAAAAACTTTTCGGTTTGTGTATTTACAATACAATGGAGAAACAAAAGAGAAAGAGAGAACTTTGGATTCATGTTGATGAAAGGGCCTGTTCTGAACGTCCACAATAAATTGGTCCAAGTCCATCCTAGAACAGCTTCACTTGCAGTTTGCCTGTCCCACTGCCTACTTCTTCCGTTCTACGCTTGTCCGTCGTCAGTGTGACGCACCCCATCCACTTTGCACACTTTGATCTGTTTAGAGGGAACGCAGCTGAACATTTCGCCGACGGACGCTGGTGCCCCAACGGAGCTCCACGGAGATATTACGCCGGAAATTTCCGTTCAGCCTGTCCCTGGCTGTATATTGAATGTAAGCTTGTGCAGCGGAAATTTCCGTCGCATTCCGTCTAGTGTGGCGCCGGCCAAGAGTAAAATTTTTCCCGACGGAGGGTATCCCAACCTTTCCATTGTGAAACACCAATGTCTGTACATATCGCACGTGTACTGGTTTCGGGATCACGATTAACGGAATGCAAAATTTCCTCATCTACTGATTGATTGTCTTCCCTCGTTCTTCGAGTGAAAAAACCAGTTTCCCTCAGCCTCTGATGAAATCGTTGTAAGGTGCGACCTGCTGGAACGTCTCGATGTGGAAAACGAGTTTGGTATTTTCTCCCTGCAGCTGTAGCATTACCGTAAATGAAATGCATATCAGCAAGATGTTCTATAGGAAACAAAGACACATTTTAAATTACCAACCTGAGGACGTTGTCAGCTGATAACATAAAAAGCAAACTGACTGAATCGAACTATAAAGAACTGACACGAAACTCAAGAGCCAGACGGATTCCTGGAAAATTTAGCGTCCACCCTTCATCGACACCAGTTTTTTCAACAAAATTCAAAAGTTTTGGGCCTTCCAGAAGGGCAATCCAAAAAAGTGGGTATCCCGCTGGAAGCTAATTGAATGAAGAACTTTTGAGGGAATTTGCAAAGCTCCAGTGGTTTGTAGCTATTAACAGTTATCAATCCAAAAATTTTAAACAATTCCCAATTTCAACATTTTTGTTTTTTATGAACTTTTGTGGTGACTTTTTTTTACAAATTCTGCAATTTAAATAGGTTTTCTTACAGCAAATTTAACGTTCTTTCAAGTGGCACAAACCAGATTTTCTACAGTCAGCAATTCTGAAGTTTATAATAAATTTAGTGGACCTAAGACGAAAAAAGAAAAACCCAAAACTTATTTACCGTTGACATTTGAACAGGAGTTTATAGGAAGTTTTTTGTTGCAAATGGTGAGTAGAAACACCTCCTGATATTTTCGAGACTTATCGCCAGTCAACCAGTATACCCTGATGTCTAGAGTGTAGCTTAGTGGGAGTGAAGGGTGTCGGTAAAGCCCCTTATCTTGGGAAGGTGAAACAAGGGGCAAGATTTTAAATTAAAATAATATTTAAAGATAATTGGAATTATGCATATTACAAGACTCAATCTCTCTTGAGAAAATTTCGAAACCAATTTTTTTTAAAAATGCTTTTGCATCCGCTGGAGCCTTTTAAAACGCGATAAGTATATATTAGCTACGTGTGTTGCAGGCCATCGTCTTCCATGTCTCTCGGGCTTTCGATGCAGTACAAAAACATGATATCTGCGAACGCATCCCCGGGCCAGGAAGAAATCAACGCCGTCCAACCGAGATCTCAATACAGCCAGCCTTCACCGCCTAAAAGTTCACGAGACGAAAACGAGGACGGTAAGCGTTAAAAGGAATGTGTTTTAACTTTTTGTAACCTTAAGAAAATTAACGAAAAATATTTAATTTCTCTCGTGATAATAGGTGAGAAAATATTATACCGAGCTTTCTGGCGAATGAGCCTAAAAACAAACTTTGTTTCTTGGTAAAAAAAATTTTTAACCTACTTTGCTACCTTCACAAATTAGGTGCTTGTAAAGGTAAATCAGATAATATACAATAAATTGCAAATCAAAACTTGCTTCAAGTAAAGTAGGCCGAAAAGAAATTATTTAAAAAATATAATTTAGTTTGTTTTAAGCACCCTTTAAAGCCCTCAAATACGAATTGTTGTAGGAATAAAAAAATAAACATATTTTGGACTTGATTTGCCGGGGGATAATTTTTTTTCGATGTCACGTTTTCGAGTTAAAAATTCATAACTCTTCCGGACTTTATCCAAATTGAAAATTTTAGCAATCTGGTCCGCTTCACCAATTAATATCTTTCAATCAATTAAGGTTTTTAGTTGAGATAAAAAAGTCAGTGTCACGAGCGAGATTCGAACCCATGATCTTCGGCTAGATAGGCCTCTGCTCTATCACTTGACCTATCGTGACCTTCGATCAACTCCCTCAAGTGGTAGAGTAGCGGCGTATATAGCCGAAGGTCGTGGGTTCGAATCCCGCTCGTGACACTGACTTTTTTATCTCAACTAAAAACCTTAATTAGTTTTAGCAATCGTTTAAAAGCTGTCTATCTCCTCTTTCATTTAATGTCAGAAATGGTTTAGATTTTGTGCCATTGTAAGTAAATTTTCTGATGATGTCCATCCTGATTTCATCGAACTCCATAATAAGATGATGGGTTGGAAGTCTTTTCTAAAATACGCAAGTCTGTTGCGGAAAAGACTATATCCAAAACATAATCTCATTATATGTAAGAAAAACTGGAATAAAATCAACAAAAACTCCCCAAGCGTTTTATTTTATGTCTTTGGTTCTGATTTATTTACCCAAACCATGTCTGTGGCATTAAATGTAATTTATAGGGTTCTTAATAGCGTAAAATTTCCTGAAGATCAGTGGAGTAAGTTATCATTACATTTTAAGGTTTTCAACCAAAATCGTAGATTTTCTAGAAAGAAGGAGAAAAATTTGAAAAAAAATATATTTTGGATTTTCTTAAAATCGTGTATTCAGGTTTTTGTTATGCAAAAAATGAATATATACTTTGTCGCTTGCGAAAAAATATTTTAGCCTATTTTGCTGTGATTGCTGGATCACAAATTTTACATTGCAATAATAAAAATACTGCGGACTGATGAACCTATAATTTGGTCGTTTTTCGGCCATTCTGGTCCGTCTGTCGTCGCTTGTTTTGTACGTATACGTACTTCATTAATATTAACTTAGCCTGGAAGATGTGTTTAAATTATGCGATCTCTGGAAGTATGTGGGCTGATGAACGTGTAGTTTGGTCGTTTTTCAACCATTCTGGTCCGTCTATCCTCGCTTGTTTTGTACGTACTTCGTTAATATTAACTTAGCCTGAAAGCTGTGTTTTTTTAAGTGTCTGATTTAAATAACCGTATATTTGATTTGTTCGACAGAAGACACCATTGACGTTACGAACGAGGAACCTCCTGCGACGGGGACGTACAGCATGAGCGCTTCAGCCCCTCCGCTTCCGCCTGAGTACGTTTTTTACCCGACGATGCCCGAAACGGTCTACGAAGTCGCTGCAAGGCTTCTTCTCATGGGGGTGAAATGGGCTAAAAACTTACCTTCATTCGCATCTCTGCCGTTTAGAGATCAGGTGGGTAGTTTTCCATAATACGAACAATCGAACCATTTTTATTGAATATACTTTGGCATGACCCCCAGGTTATACTTTTGGAGGAATGCTGGGCAGAATTGTTCCTATTGAACGCGATACACTGGTGTCTTCCTCTGGAGACGTGCAAGCTTTTCAGCGTGCCCGAACACGTGATGGCCGCCCCCTCAGGAAAGGAAGGCCTCGTCGCCCACGAAGTTCGCGCCCTCAACGATGCTTTACAGAAATTTAAGGCCATCAGGGTGGACGCCGGTGAATTCGCCTGCCTCAAAGCAATTGTCCTTTTCAAATCAGGTTAGTCCCATCATGAAATACGTAGTAAAATAGAAATAAATGTTAAAATGGTTAAATTCACCTTTCGGTACATTCCGAACTCCAATAGTAACCCCGGTCAAGGTACATTCTGTTTGTATCCTGCTGGATCCAGAACTCAGGTTCAAAGCAAGAGATTTAACCCCAAAAATCAAGTCCATGCGATGAAAAATGTGCTCAATTCAAAATAATTTAGCAGTCGTCATTAGCTGTCATGTACGACTCCCTAAGACTAATCATGTCAAATCGCTGCGCAGTTCAAAGCAGTGATTTCTAAAACCTCGAGATTCTGAATTGCAATTCCAAATTAAATAAATGGGACATTCAAAACGGTCACCCCCAGGTCCCAGCACATAGGGTAGGATGGTTAGGATACTAATGGTATTTGATGTCCCCTAAGCACTGCATCCTTGTGGCTTATTGAACTTTTTCTTTTTCCTTCGTTCAGTTTTTTTAAGAAATAAAAGGTTATTGACTGTTATTTGGTGGTTTTCCCTGGTTCTTATTGACACTCAGGTTATGTCTCTATTGAGACATTAGTTCACATTCGAAGTTATGTGTATATATGGGTAGCTGTTCCTTCCTTATCATGGTATAATCTATAATCTATTCCCCTGAGTTTTACCCTGTCTAGCTGTGGCAATATGTTTACTAGTATGACGAGGGTTCTTCATCAATGAATTCACTAGATCTTGTGTCTCTTGAGTCCGTTTCTTCTTTTGTATTTTTGAAAATTTTTTCTGAGATGAAGGAATCTGTTTGATGTTGTTATCCCAATTAAATGTTCTGGGCCTATATATAGTCTTGCAGATTCCCCCCTGCTCAGTTTGTCTGCTTTTAATTAACCAAAATACCTCTGTACCCTGGCACCCAAGATTAGGATAGTACAAATTTCCACGTTTTGGAGCTTTTAGGTGTATTCGTCTATCGCTTTAGATGTGATAATTTTACGTGTTAGTGCTTTGTTTTTCTTTCATTTATTGGCAGTGTAACTTGTAAGCATGGGGAGCGCATTCAGCTTGAAAGACTGAGGTGTACTCTAATGAGTTTGATTGCTCACACATGATGATAGAAAACGACCTTTCGATATAAAAAGGAGGAACCGAATGCAGACTGACTTACAGGTATCTTTGTAGATTGATCTCCGCCTTCCTGGGAGAAGGGTTAAAGGCTGACGCTATATTAGGTATGGATATTGCTGTATGTTTTTATATAGCCATGTGGCATCATTCAAATTACTTCCAATCGACGGGACCTTTAATTAAAGTAACTTTATGAAAAAGAGCTGTTAAACATCAGTAGAACAGGACTTTGAGATCATAGGTGGCGGAGGATGTGCTAGGCCATATAAGGGAGAGATAAAATCAATCATAGACTCCTCCATGTCGGAATGGAAGAACAAAATGAGAAATGGACGAATCTTCACTAAAACTGGCAAACTCATCGGTACAGACAGGATAAAAATCAGGAGAGTGATAGGATTAAATGCCTACTACTGGCTACTGGCATCTGAGAAAACGACTACACAACATGGGTGTTTTCAGAAAACCCATGCTTTCTAGTATTCCCTTTTCATCACCATCATCAAGGCTGTTGTTAATTGTATGAGGATCAGATGGATAGCAAGTGCGCGGAGTGTCTTATGTCCTTAATGAAACATAAGTTTGATGTGTGTAAGTCTGGTCTATTTTTATCGATTCATACCTAATTTCCGTAAAGTCGCCTAGCCTTGTACTTATTATTGCAAAAAGTTACAGTGAAATCTGTAGCTTGATCTCCGCGTTCCTGAACAGGCAATGGCCTTCCTAGTTCACATGACATAAAGAGGCGAAATTATCCATAAAACTAACATCAAAAGAGGGTACTGGGAGCTCTTAAAACTCCCAAGACTGAAATGGGTAGAGATTCCATTTTCCAAAAAGGTGATTTTGTTTTGAAATCATCCTAGACCAACAGCTTTCATGAAAACAGCGTCTAAACAAAACACAAAGAACCAAGATTGCCTGATGAAGAAGCTCTGTCTTCAAAGCTTGTAATTAAGCCAATGACCCTATGGCAAGTACTTCTACATGACCCTGCAGGCGATCGAGCTTCTAAATAGAACTATGAAGATAAGTATATACCTTCCTACACTATAGAAGCTAGAGCTGCTAGGACAGCTATCTACTTGCTAGGCCTTGAACAGAGCTTGAAATGTGTCTGGAGTTGCACGGGATCTTGGTGGGAGTCAGTAACAATAATATCTCGGGTTCTTGGCACTCAGGGCTTCAACTGTGGCACATGGGCAACGAGCAGACAATCTGGCCAAGAGTGGAATGGATCTTTAATGAGTCCAAATCCTGTTGGTCACAATTCACAGAAGAATTCATGGATAGCATAACGAAACTCGTATTCTGGTATATATCCAGTCTCCTGATTGGACAAATTCACTTAAAAAAGAAAATACTGCATTGGAGTACTGGCAGAAGAACAATTGTGCAGATTTTGCCAAGAAGAAGAATCACGGTACACTGTGCTGCTGTGAAGGTCCATCCCGTAGGTTTTTGCTTTTAGGTGAGGAAAAACCACAAGCAGTCTGCCACACAAAATAAAAAATATCAGTCAGACTATGGGCTAAAGCTGACTAGTGAGCAATATAGTAGAGGGCACTCGACCTCTTTAGGCCGAGGTATAACAGTCAACATCAGCATTAGAGTTACCATCGACTAAAGGGGAAAGAAAATTTATCCTGATTTGACCCGTTACTTAAATGGCGTTGTTCCATTTCTCTTATAATTATATTATGAAAAATAATAACTTATTAAATAAATTTTTAATTTCTTTCCACTTACAGAAACCAGAGGACTGAAGGACCCGATGCAGGTTGAGAATTTCCAAGACCAAGCTCAAGTGATGTTGTGCCAACACTCGCGTACCAACCACCCGGACCAAGGGCAGAGATTCGGCCGGCTCCTCCTCATGTTACCACTCCTCAAAGTCGTACCGACGAATCGGATCGAGGACATTTTTTTCCAACCGACCATCGGCAACACGCCCATGGAAAAAGTCCTCTGCGACATGTACAAAGGTTAAAACTGACACCGGGCGAAACGACCTACTTCCGGCAGAAGCGCTGATAATCCGCTTGGCTAATTTCCTTTTTTTTCTAAATCATAAGCTATAAAATATGTAAGGGTAATCCCAAAAGGCTAAATAATAATTAAATAATAATAATCAATTAAGAAATGACTATTACAATAATAGCGATTTGAAACTCATTCTCTTGATAAATGTTTAGAGCCTTTAAAGATTCTTTTGGTAAAATATACCACATATTGGAACCATGTTTTATATCATTGATATACACATGGATTGGAATACATTGTAAACTTTTTTTGTCATCGTTGTTATTCGTGTTCTTTCATTTTATTATAATGTACAATGGCTTAAGATATGTATGTACATGTATACATATAATACGTTAATTTGAGTGCCATAGTATGTCGATGTCTTTATAAGCAATGTTATTTGTTTAAATTGTAGCGACATTATAAATATCTATTTGTATCGCGAAAAAATAAACAAAATATATAAATTCTGGAAGCGTAAAAGGTTAATAAAAATTCATACAACCTGGGTTTCGAATCCCCCTCGTGACACTAGCTTTTTTATCTCAATTAATACTTTATATAAAAAGTATAATCAATTGAAACAAATAAAAATATAAAGAAAATGTTTCATGTAAAAAAATCCCTTTAACACCGGGTATACATTTCCACCTCTGGAATGAATCACATCCGTTAAGCCAGAAACACCGATGCTACGCCATGCGACGCTACCCGACGCAAATCATACCTCCGATTTTCCATAAGGTTGCATTACCCCCGTGCACACCTACCCGATGCTATGCCACGCTAACCTACACTCTGCGATCCCCACTGTCCAGATTTTTGTCGATTGGCATCGAGTACAGTCGAAGACAAAAGAACCGGACACTCATATTTTTATTCAAACTACATGTATTATTGTCGCTATTTTAATTACAACATACTTATTTTAATATAAACCAAATTAACTGTGTTTAAAAATTAATTCGTTTTTATTTAAAAAAAATCATTTTAATGGTTTGGTAGAAAATTAATCAAAACACCGGAATACGATTGTTTGATATAATGAATTTAACTATTNTATCAAATCGTATTTGAATCGATTGAACGATTTTTGATGAAAGTGAACAAATTTGAAAGGTCTTTTCTCACAAATGTCGGTATTGTTGATTGTCTACCCCTTACATAAATATCTAAAACAACAGTAGAGTGTAAAAAACACTCAGTAAAATTACATTAAAAAACAAAGTATCGTTTAAAATTTTAAACGATTTATATTCATGTTATTAGAGCTGGCTATATATAACAAACGTCGCAATGTTTTCTTTTTGAGACCATTTTGCATATTCCGCAGGCATTTGAGCTTTAATCATTGTAATTGAATTCAAAAGATTCGTCGGCTTTATACGATTTGAATTGATTCGATTCAAAATCGCGTTAGTGATAGGGGTGAGGGGTATTAGACGATTTCATTGCTACCCCCCGCCTGCGGATCATTCAACCAGCCCCTCGTTAAATGGTAAGTCTATTTGTATATTACGATATTGTTTATTTGTTTAAGCAGAAAAAAACAGTCATCCTGTGGTTCTGTTACCCTTGGGCGTCCAGAACCGGGCCTTCTATGGTTGGACCCAGTTTCTCGAAAACGTTCAACGGCATCTGGCAGACCTTCATAGGAGGACTTTGTTGACAATAGCCGCATACATGATGGAACGTCCATCATCAATAAGTGCCACACCACGCTCAACCCTCAGCACTAAGCGGCATTTTTAAGTTTAAAAATTATAATTAAGAAAACAAAGATGAAAACTAAACAGTTTATTGCTTCAGAATTCAAATGAGAATTCCATTGGGATGAGAACTTCCTTTTCAAGGACAGACTTATAAATAAATATATTTAAGAACAAGTACAGTTACTTTTAGCTGTGTGTCGCAGGATTTAAAAATAATTTAAATGAAAAATAAATAAATATATAAATACACTCTGCCAATATATATGGTTTCCCGTCAAATAAGCCTTTTTTTGGGGGCGTCGGTGGCCGCAACGGTTTAGGCGTTGACACGGCGCTCATCACTGAAAGGTAAAGGGCCCGGGTTCCAATCCAGCGGCCCTGCATTCGAACCCGACATACTTACAAATGGGCTTTTTTTTTCAAAAACACCGGCACCCTCGAAATAAAACTCTTCTTCTTGGGTAGATGCAATATCGAGCAGGTCAGACAAGGTACGTGCTCGTTAAAATATTAGGTCCATTTTTTCTTCATTTATGTATTCAATTGGCGTCCCTTTCCCAACCGACATACATCTGGTGTTCCTCAAGGCTCAATCCTTGGACCCCATACTGTTTTTTGTGTACTAACAAAATACTTCTCTTAGAGATTGTAAAAATTGCCCTTTTTATGCTAATTTCGTTCTCTACTTTTCTTTTTTTTTCTTTTTTCTTTTTTTTTTGGGGGGGGGGTCGGTGGCCGCAACGGTTTAGGCGTTGACGTAGCGCTCATCACTGAAAGGTAAAGGTCCCGGGTTCGAATCCAGCGGCCCTGCATTCGAACCCGGCATACTTACAAATGGGATTTTTTTTTCAAAAGCACCGGCACCCTGACGGTTGATATGACCTCTGCTGTTGCGAACTCTCGTAAAAAAAAACTTTTTACCTTCAAAAAACGTTCTAACTTTAAATTAACCTTTGTGAACTTCAAAATAACTTTTTTAAATATCGAATTAACCCTTTCTTTACAGCATTAAAACTTAGAACATACTTAGAAATACCCCCTTTAACATCTAAATCTAGCTAAATGACCCCAAACTTTCGGATCATGGTCACTAAACTAAGTCCTAATCGTATAGACTTTTTTTACGAATAGAAAGATCTTTTTGAACCGATTAATTCTGACCCGTTGCCGGATGTGAGACGGGGGTCGACCGCCTGTAATCTCTGCTTGAAAATAGTGTCATTAAGTGTCATTTCCCACCACGGTCGTCCAATGTCAGTCATCCGGGTGTCCTTCCTCTCCGAACGACATCATCTCTTCAAATACAAAAGATTAAGTTGAGAAATCGAGACGACCGGATTCGTTCAGAATCGACATTTGGACCAATTACAACAGGTTGTACTTATTAAACCGCTATATTTCGAATTTATATCGCACGCCCACGAGAAAAGTGGCACAACTCAACAAAAGAAAATTTTACAGGAGAGACAGCAGGAAGTTTACTTTTTTTTATTTATGCATTAAGTACGCGCCATTAAGGTTGTTGGCAATAAAAACTGTCTTGATCTATCGATATTGTCTTTCATTTGTCCAAGACTTAAGCGCAAACACAAATTTTAAAAATCAAATTGTACTACCACTTAAAAAAACTACAGCTTTTTGAGTTGTGACACTTTTCTTTCACATATTGGCTCTGAGTGATTTAAGTTAGTTTGTTCGCTCTAAATGGTGTACTGTATATGGCTGTTAGGGTCTTAATTTCTTTGTGATATTAACAAAAGATTCAGTTAAAGCAATACAATTTTATTTTTTCGCATAAAATATAATTGTGCTAATTCAGTATTTACAATATTTCGATTTTCTGTAACATTTTTGACCTGCAACTTCGAAGATGAGCATTCATGCTTCCCGGATTTGTTAGTGAAATCTGAAGAGCCAGAATTATCAGATATACTTTTCTCCTCATTGCCCGTTATGAAAGTGCAACAAATTGATCCTATATCCATAACACTTTGCCCTAAAGTCAAAGAGGTGAAAATTTGAAAATGACAGACTTCATTACCGTTATTAACGGTAGTTTCCTTCTTGTTGGTTGTCAACTAATTTAGTATCAATGTGTCCATATAATGTAAAACCTTATTTTTACAAATATTATATATCTATAAATTATTTGGAAATTGTGAGATGCGGTCTGGTGCGATGTAAGTCTTAGAAAAACCATTTCTTTATCGTGCCAACGTTTCGATCTTTATTGAGATCATCTTCAGGGCTCAAAGTGTTTGCTTTCTGTGTAGATGTGTCATTATTGGGTGTCGTGTTGGGAGGGCAAAAAAAATTCACTTTCACACAAAACCAATATGACACCATAACCATATCATCACACTTTACATAAGTATGAAACACTTGGTTCAAAGTTTATATTTACATCTTAAATTGGATTTTTTACAATCGACATATGTTTTGTAATTTACCCAGACCCTGAAGATGACTCGAATGAAGGTCGAAACGAAAAAACGCAAAAAAACGAAAAAAAGGATTTTCTAAACTACCTCATTCTTGACCACTCCTCATGACTTCAACAAATTATGAAACAACCGGTCACTAAAACACACACACACACACACACACACANTTTATTTTACAAAGCGAGTTCTAATTGATTTATTTCTACCCCCCTTCAAATTTACTTAGCTCTCGTTTTCGAACATTCAATTGTTTTTTTTTTTCAACTCTAGTATAACGTTATTTAAAAACCTGGATATATCATCGTATGTATGCTTTTAACGATTCACCACAAACCTTCTTCCTGCAGTAGAATTGACACCTATTGGCGATCAAACATCCTTTGATGATAAAATGGTTCTTTAAGGGGTTAACGAGCTCAGCATAATTTTTATTTCCGACTGAAGAGGGTGAATTGAAACTTTTCAACCGATCAAACGCTCTTTTCTCCTCCTCTTTGACATCAGACAGAGTGATGGATACTGGGATGCGGAGTTTGTGCTCCCCAGTCACTGCACCCTTCTGGCTTCTTGTACCATATGCAAGACATACAAGACAGAGCGAAGTAACAACCCATTCACTCATTTTTTATTTTATATTCATCTTTTCTTAAGTTTTTGTTTCAGATGACGTGAACAGGAAGATTATCTAAGTATGTAATTATTCAATCAAATTTTAATTAATATGGTTTAATTTTGAAAAAACCACCTTTATAAAAAAATTCTTTTCGATTAATTAATCTTTATGTAAGGTATTGGTTGAGATAAAAAAGTCAGTGTCACGAGCAGGATTCGAACCCACGACCTTCGGCTAAATACGCCGCTGCTCTACCACTTGAGGTATCGTGACTTCGATCCACTCGGACACCAACCCTCTTAACCCCACCTTTTGAATTTTCCCTCCTATTTGTCATTTTTCAACAATTAAAGATTAATTAATTGAAAAGAATTTATTTGGTCAATCGGACCAATTTGTAAAAAATTTCATTGATATTGTGCTTCTTGTGATAAATGCATAACGATTTATTTTCATTTTTAAACAAGTCTACTTTTGTAACTTTGTTACATTTTGGAGTTTATCCTTGTTTTGACTAATTTTAAACTCATTATCTTTTGTTATTATTTTTTTTTTTTTTATCAATAGAAAGAAAAGCTGGCTGGCCTTTGGGAGAAAATGTATACATTGGTGTAGTCACTCCTTTCGAAGTGAAACATCCGTTTGAATATAGTATAGTAAAACCAGGTCAAACGGTTATGTCTTCACTCATACCGAAATACATAGTCGACTTGAAAAGTATGAAATACCTCGCCGTTGCTTCAATGGCCGCTCAGCAACGTCTAATGGCAGGAAGGCAAAAGCGAGATGCAGAATATGTAAAAGTTTATCCACCGGTTTCATCCAGGCAGAAGCCGATTATGCCTACATGGGGCAGTTTTTACAACCGGAGGCCTGCGATCAACTCACCTTGGACGAAGGACACCCAAAGTGTCACCGTCAATACGGTTGAATTGTCTGACCTGGATATACAGCGAGAAACGAGCAGGGCGAATTTGATTCTCGTTCAAAGAATGGGCGAACTTGTCCAAGTCGAAAAGGAAAAAGTCATCTCAGAGATACAAAAATCTGCTGTTGAGATGGAAAGGATGATCGCTGAGAAAGAGAAACATCAAATGGATACTCAAAAACTAGAAATAGAAAAGGAGATGATTGAAGCAAAATTAATATCTGGTACTGCTAAGTCTTTACAAGATTGATTTAATTGTTAAATTAAAAATAATATTTTGAATATCTACTAAATTTATTATACATCCAAAAACTTTCAAACATAAACCAAACATATATTCTTATAATATTTGAATTAAAAGGGTTTCATATTTTCTCAGAGTAATTTATTAAAGCAAATGTTAGATTTAACATACTAATATGCACGAGCACACAGCACAAACTACAATATTATATGTCAGCTTTTTTGCTGTTTTTGTCTGTTCATTACCCATATAAAATTTATATTTATTTCATTAAAACAAATGCATCTGATAAATTAATATTTGACACCTCACCGTTTCCATGATACAGAAAATTTATTTACTTGCAAAAAATTTACAAAATTAAAATATTATATTTTAATTTACAATAATGTAACATTTTGGTCGAATTGTACAGGTATTTATAATTTTTTTTAAATTCCAATAGGAAATAAGATGTATCTCTTAACATTTTATAACATTTCTATAAAGTTCACCTTTCAATTTTATTTTTTGTACAATTTTTGTACTTCCCTGTATAAACACTGTAGTTATTAAAAAAAAATCACAGATACCGGTTTTTTTTTTTTTTTTTTTTTTGTAATATTCGATAACATTTTCTTACTTACCAGATCAAAGTGTACATTCCGAAAGTTATTGAGACACATTGGTGTAATTTCAACTGATAATTGTTCCCCAGCATCACATTCTATCCGGGCTACATTTCACTTATTATAAAAATAAAAAAAAGTAGAAGCTTAAAAAAATAATAATTAGGTTAGAAATTGTCCAGGCACATTGGTATCTATTATATACCACATCTATTCTAATCTGAGTAGCTAAACTCGGGATAATCCCTGCAGCCAGAATGTGCATGGGATTGTGACAAAAAGTTAACGAAAATAAAATGATATATTTAAACGAAAATTTATATAAAAAAGAAAGGTTCACAAGGGTAGAAAATGAGATTTCTACATTTCTACATATTTTCTTTGGTGATTGATCAGCCTTCTCAGTTTAAATATATTTTTTTCTTTCCAAAAGGTAGCTTGGGGATGAGGCCAGGAAGACAGAAACATTTATTTTCTTGTTGAGCTTTTGGCAGAATATATCGCCTTCATCAGGACTTTGAAAAACATCGTTATACTATATGAACAGGTACATGTGTGGATAACGGATAGCCGGTAGAACCGGCCGGTTGTTCAAAGTCCTGATGAAGGCGATATTCTGCCGAAAGCTCGACAAGAAAATGTTTCTGTCTTTCTGGCCTCATCCCCAATCTACCTTTTGGAAAGAAAAAAATATATTCATTTCTACATATTTATATCTCAGTATGTCCTACCTATAAAATTAAAAGGAGTTACCAGTTTCTCAATTCCAATAAGAACTGACCAGTCATTCAATGGAAATGTGATGTACAATGACATGGTATATCACAAGTCTATTTTATGTTTGTATCTGTCTAATTAAACATTAGAATGTTTATCTTAAAGTAAGCAAATCAATTTACGGAGATGCGGGTGAATTCCTTTCAGTAGAGCACACGACACTAATGAACACTAATGAACACTGATGAGGTACTGGAAGCGTTTATACACAGAGAATGGATTTATTGAGACAGCACTACTAAAGACACCTGACGGAACATCAAATGCCAAGTGGTTTAGACCAAGGACCAAACAAAGGTAAACAGTGATATACATTTATATGATTAATCCCCAATATGGAACTACCCAGACATCTGGAGGTTAACGAAATAAATGTATATTAAGTGTGAGAGAGTCCATGGTGTACCCTCTAATTGACCCTCCATAAAGTTAGTTAATAGGTGAAGAGTGATGGAGAAATATCAAGTACTCCACTACCCTGAGTGAACGGTAAATAGGAAAGAATGAAAGAAGTGTAAATGTTTTGGATTTAGGAACTGCATATTGGTTGCCGATTTGTCTTAGCTGTTGATAGCCTCACCTGGGGTGGGCGATTCTCCCATCAGTTGGAGGGGAGTGCAGAGCACTTTTTATGTTTTTTCTGAAGGTCTATGTGGGTACAGATTCCTGGTACTAGGACAGGAAAAGCCACAAGCAAGATCCTACACTAAGTAGTCATTGGCAAGACTATGGAGGTTGATTAACAACCTGAAGTTGGCCAGTGAATTATATATAGAAAAAATAATCAGGAAATCGTTGAAAAATACAAACTGTGGTGGATTTGTGGGCAGTGATAGGCTCAACTTGGTACCCTCACGTATGTAGATGCATGTGCCGATTTGAACTTATATAAAAATCAGTAATGAGTAAAACATGGGTTAAGATCAAGAAATTTAAAAAAAAAATTAAAATGGAAATTTCTAGGTATTGTGATATTTTTGACAGGTTTTTAATTTTTTTACATACTAGTCTAAAAATCTAAGTACATTTAAATAGTAAAGGTGTGAATAATGGCCAGAAACTTTTTTTTAACAATTTAATAATATAATTTTTTTACAATCATTTAACCATTTTGAGTTCTGACCACCAAAATACATAATAAATGTATTTCCTTTAGTATAAAAAAATAAATAAATATTTTCTCTTTTTATCTATTTTGACTTAAATTATAATTTGACAACACTAACATCAAAATTTTATACTGTCAAGTAAAATTATAAAAAATATATTTTCAAACTGATTTTCTTCAGCATTAAACAATTAAAATGCGTTGTTATTTTCTTAGTCATTGTGGTTAAAAGGGATTTTATTTACAATTTATATTCATTCATAGATCTATGAACGTTTCACATAAATTATTATGCACACAAAGTGTAATAAATACTAAATATTCAGAGTTTATTACAAAAAAAAACTCAAAATACAATTATTATCACAGAGCTTTATATAATTAAATAAAAATTGTAATGTGACTAAAAAAAATTGAAACATTAATAAAGCACCTTTGGAGTAGAAGAAAAAAATTCGATCAGACTAATTACCAAATAGCTATTTAGAAATCGTCTGGTGACCAGACCGCATCTCATGATTTCTAAATAAATATCGATTAACAGTCACTAATCACCACACATTAACAAATAGCATTGCCTGTTATAACACAAACAATAAATGAACACAATAACAACGGAAAATTCATTATTCCTAAAAGTATTTACCCATGGCACTTGGAAATATCAAATCATACACCGCTTGTTTGATTATTACATAAATAAATATTATTTGTGTTTGGCTATGTTCAACTTCATACACATTTAAAAAGTAAACATAATTTGAGCATACTTTAAACAGTTTACATTACAAAAAAAATCAAATGCCTCACACAGGCAAAAAACATTACCTGGCTACTTATCTGCCAATTCCATTAAAAACTTTCAACCCATTTAATTTAAATTTTTTTTAAGTTGTCATTTTATGAAATGCTATCAGCAGATAGGTAGAAGGTTGTTTGTCAGTCTCGTTTTCTCATTGCTAACTGTCCAAAGCTGGATTTCGCAACTTGCTGGTTCAAACGGGAAGCAAGTTGGACGAACGATTCGTAGAGGGAGTTCCTGTCCATCGCCGAGACTTCATATATTTTGATTTTTTCCCGCATTGCCCAATGCTGAGCCCTTTGGAATGTGGATGGATCGGCACCTTGAGGGCCATGGTTCGCCATAACGGTGATGATAACCTGAAATCGTGAAAAAAAGTTGCATATTAAATTGAAAATTTATTTCAGGATCATTATAAATCAGTCAATTTGATCTTTTATGTGGATAAAAAAATAATATTTAGGATTATATTAAATGAGATTAGATAAACAAAAAGGTAAAATTGAAAAATGCAAATCAGATTTGTTTTAAGAACCCTTTAATAGCCTTCAACACAAATTTTCATAGCAAAAAAAACATAGACATTTTTGAGCTGGATAGCAAGGGGCAATTTTTCGGTTCTTTGAGATTCATCTTAAAAATTCATATCTTCCCTGGATGTGTTTGGTAGTCATAACTGACCGTATAAATTATTGAAATTAATTATATTTTTTATCTAAGGTCTTGGTTGAGATGAAAAAGCTAGTGTCCGAGTGGTATTTGAACCCATGTCCTTAGGCTCAAAACACCATGCTCTAACCACTTGAGCTATCGTGACTTCTACAGCTTTTTGGATACTGAAGATTTCTTGTTTAAGGCTAAGGCAAAAAAAATTGGATTTTTTGTCTCATCTCAATATAATAAGTTTTCAACACGGTTCTAAGTCAAATTGAAATTTAAACAACATATTAGGCATAAATCATAAACTACTCTGATTAGGTAGGTCTTGATGAAACAATTTTTACATGACTGACGCTCAGCCCTAGTAGCCGAGAAAAAATATTTTTCTACATGTATTTCATACCTTTTATATATCATACAATTTGTCTGTAAATACTAATTTTTATGTCAAACAAAAATAGATATTTTTGTCCTGGTTTCAACTGATTCAATTTTTTGTCCTCTGATGTTTTTTCCACTCAAAAATGTATAACTAACCGGAAAACTGGGAAAATTTAGAAAGAAATTAACAAAAAAAAATCCTTAAATGTTTTATTTTTCTGGTTGTAATTTATTTAAAGAGACAAGGTTTATGGCATTATATGCAGTTTATAAGGTTCTAAACCGCTGGTAAAGTTTTTTGAGGATCGGTGGAGCCGTGTCTGTGCTATGACAATTTTGTTGATTTTCAACAAAAATGCGAGGCCTTGTAAGGTGTAAAATTTGAGAATTTTTTAAATTTTTTTACCTTTCTCAAAAATTTGTATTTACGTTTTTTCGGGGTATGGAAAATGAATACAAACTTAGTTTCTATACAAAAAATATTTTCACCTACTTATGTTTAGTAGGTCAATCACAAATTCCAAAACACTTCTAGATTTATTTAATTTTGGTTTATCTGATATCCCATATTACACATAAAAATTCAACTCATTTGTATTTTATTGAAATTAAACATGGGTATGAAAAACTGAATAACTCCTCTTGCAGGCAATGTGAAAATGATTTGGATGTCATTTTAAATGAAAGCAATGAGGATGAAATTAACAAAAACTCTTCAAACGTTTTATTTTATACGGTAAAGTTTTATCTCTGGTACTAATTTATTTAAAGAAAATGAGTTTATGCCCTTTAGTGTAGTTTATAGGGTCCAAAGCCCCTGTAAAGTTTCTTGTAGATCATTTAAGACATTGCAAATTTATCACCGTTTTTGTGATTTTCGAAGAAAAACTCGGAGCCATTTGGAAGAACAATTTGAGAGATTTTTCCCCCCAATAAATTTGCATTTAGGGTTTGTTTGAAATGTAAAAAAACTAATATCAATTTTGTTTCTTGCTAAAACAATATTTCTACTTTGCTATGTCGCTCCATCACAAATTATGTATTTCAATAAATAAAATGTCATACTATGGCCTAGCTACCACTACTAACGTGGAATGGGTCGAATACAAGAATAAACCCGTAAGACTATCTGAAAAAACAGAAAAATGTATTAATAGTTACTTGTTAGTTTTTTAAAAAATATCTCAGCTCCTAGGGCCCATTAGCAAGAATGCTTGGGCACGTGTCTAATATTTTTCGATCTAGCAATACCAAAAAAAAAGTTTCATTGAAATCTTTGATCCATCAGAGCCTACCCTTGTCTTTTTTTTAAATATTTATTTTAATGGAATCCAATAACATTTGCTTGCCTGTTCTTTATTAAATAAATTGAGATTGCATTATAAAACTTCCACCAATTTTTAGCACGTGCTACATAAGTAATATACATTAAGACTTAATAAATCAGACTTTTTTTCTCAAACTGGACATGTTTAACAAAATGTACAATTATAAAATTTGTATTTTGAGCATATTAAGACGGTTGAAAAAAAAAAAAATAATAATAATTGTGTCTGTATTATAACTTCAAAGCTTTTCTCTTACCTCTTTTCTTTCTTTGTTGCGGTCAATCTCTTTTTTTATTGACATAATGAAATCCAGAGTGTCTGCTTTCGATGGGTCGAATACAAGAATAAACCCGTCGGCGTGGAAAAAATTGATATTTCGCATCATATCACTCCCAGTGTCGTAAAACCTTAAATGCTCTTTTACGCCCCTCTCAGTTTCAATATTTGCAACATAAATGTCCTCGATTGTGGAATGAAGGAACTAAAAAAACAATAAATGAAATAAAATAATATCATTAAATACTGATTGAACAAAAACCATCAAGTATATCGGCTAAGAAATCATTTAGGCTCATCACACTTTCAGAGTTCCTAAGCCTAAGAGGCTCATTAAGTTAGGATTTTACATTAGGGACAGCATTATAAAAGCGTGTTAAGAAGAGGATTGATTTTTTACAGAGTAATCAATTTCAGCAGTTATAAGATCACATCCATATGTTAAAATAAAGAAGTTTTAAGGTTTCTGATATTGATCTTTGAAGGATGAAAAGCTATTGGGTAGTTACAGGGTTGGACTAGTTACATTTATATGGTTCCTATATGTACAGGACCTGTTATGTCAGGATTAGGGTGGAATATTTTGAAAAGGTTTAGTGAGAAAAGAACACAAAGGCTTTTTCTTTGTGTAACTTTGCCCATGATTCATAGCCATTGCAAAGTGGAAGTATTGTGATGGGATAGGATGTGTATGGTGGCAGGTATGTGGGGTACGAGTCTACCCAGGCATTTAACCCCTCGGGTCTTGGTTGTCCACCCTGGTGGCAAGTCAATGTGATTTGTATTAAGTCATAAGGGTAGTTTGATGGGTGGAATCATTCTTAGTTTGCAGAGTTCACTTTTTAATAATAGTCAGTTTGTTAAAAAAAATTGGCAGTTGGAGGAGTGCTATTGTTAATATTCTAAGAATGTTCTTTCTGAACTAGGGATATACTATAAAAAAAAAAATTGCTAGCTCTCCAATGAGTCTATTGGACCAACTTTCCTAATCGCCCAATGTTCAAAACCTAAGATTGTTCCGACCGAACTAAGACTGTATGATTTAAAAAATAAATAATTTTAGCCATCTTTCAAACGAGTACATATGATCGTACCTTGAAATTCAATATGTTAAAATGTGGATCTTCCAATGCTCTGAACAAAACGTCTCTATCGTCCAATGGTCCATTGCCATCACTTGTAATCTTATTACAGAACTAAGAGTTTAAAAAAAAAAATTGCTAGCTCTTCTCAAACAAGTCTATCTGATCAGACCTACAGATCCTATTCATCAAATGTGTACCATTCAACGCTTGGACTAACATTCAGAATCAACCAATTGTCCAAAAAAGTTTATTTCCTGTTACTGTACTAAGATTAATATTTAATTATTTAGAGATCGTGAGATGCGGTCTGGTGAAATGTAGGTTTAGAAAAACATTTTCTTTATGATGCCACGTTTCGATCTTTACTGATATCATCTTCAGGGCCTGGGATTTAGATTTATATACCTTGTTTAAATTGTACAAATTCATATAAGATAGGACTATGAGTTTATACAATGATATATAAACAATATAGAAATTTTAGGTTTAATCAAATTATTTGTACTCAATCAGTGTTTGTTTTTTGTGTAGATGTGTCACAATAATGTGTCATGTTGAGAGTGTAAGTGAGAGGTTTTTTGTTTATATGTTTGATTTTGAAGGTGTGGGGAAGTAAATAGGGATAGAAATTCATTTTTATATGAGCTGTCAGCTTCTTTGAGGTGAAAGGGCCGACAATGGGAAAAAAAGTGGTAATGTTTTATCGTTCAGGCCTGGCTCTTTCAGGATTATTGGGGAAAGGAGAAATAAATTGTTGAGGATTTAGACTAGGGACAATAGAACTGTTTGATGTGTGGGGTGTAATAATTGTTTTATATGTTTGAGTGTTATATACATATATATGTTATTAATATTGAATTGGATTTATGATATTAGCGTAGTTGTGGCTGAGTTTACATGCGTCTGTTCTGTAATTGATGCTGTGTTTATATCTGTTGATGTAAACCATTTCTAAAAAGTTACATTTATGACTGTTTTGTTCTGTGTTTAATATTTTTGGATTGTTCAAAATCGAAATTTTGTTCAAAATGGTGGGTAGCCAGTGCTGTACTATTGGTTTGGGTTTTTTTGCAATTATATTGTTTTACTCTCTTATCCAGATATTGGGATTTAATTCCGATGTAACTTGCCGGACAATTTATACAACTGATTTTGTAAATTACATCAGACTTATTCGTTACTGGTGTGGGATCTTTAATTTTTGGATAAAAAAAAAGAGTGTGGAGAGTTTTATAGTTTTTGAAGGCTATTTTCAAGTTATCAGAAAGGAGAAATGCGTTTAATTTGTGTGATAGGCTGTGAACGAATGGAATGGATATGTATGTTGGTTTGTCTGTGTTTGAATGAATTGATGCAGCGTTATTAGTGATAGTAGATGGTGTTAGTGTTGAATTGTAGTTGTTGTTTATTCTGTTGTTAAAGGGTTATGTTTGTTATGTAGGATATGTTTGTATATCTTTATGTTATTGTGGTGAAAAGATTCATGGCACAGAGTAATAATTCTGTTAAGTAGCACTTTGGCCGTGTTTATTATTGTATAAAAGCGATGGTGTGATGTAAATTGAGGTAGCGATCTGTGTTTCTTGATTTTTAGTACCAACCTGTGATTAATGTGCCATCTGGTTGTTTTATATTTCATGTGTAAATTGTAGGTGTGGGTGAAAGCTGTTAAATGTATTTAATGTAGTTTGAATTTGATCTGTGGGAACTGCTGTCAATATATCATCTACGTATTTAGTGAGGAAGAGTAATGTGAAAGGAAGTTGTGGTATAACTGTGTTTAATGAACATGTTTTTTCGATAGACTTGTGTGTGGTGTTATGTTGAGTCAATTATCTTTAATAATTACAATTAATTAAGGTTTTTAGTCGAGATAAAGTCAATGGCACGAGCGGGATTCGAACCCACGATTTCGGCTTGATACGCCGCTTCTCTACCACTTGAGCAATCGTGACTTCGATCCACTCGGACACCAACTTCCCATCTCAACCGCACCTTTTGAATTTTCCCTCCTTTTTGCCATTTTTCAAATGTCGTGTAATCGGGTTGGATTCTCGATGACAAATGAAATGGCCACGGAGAGCTTTAATAAAGTATACTTCATTTTTAATCATTAAATTCACTAATTTCGTGTTCAACCCGATTACACGAAAAATGGCAAAAAGGAGAGAAAATTCAAAAGGTGGGGTTGAGATGGGAAGTTAGTGTTCGAGTGGATCGAGGTCACGATAGCTCAAGTGGTAGAGTAGCGGCGTATCAAGCCGAAGATCGTGGGTTCGAATCCCGCTCGTGCCATTGACTTTTTTATCTCAACTAAAAACCTTAATTAATTGTAATATATTAATTGGTCAAGCGGACCATGAAATTAGTGAATTTAATCTTTAATAATGTTCAGTGTCGTGTCTATTGGAACGTTGGTGAATAATGTCTACGGATATGAGAGGATAGTGTGAGAGGATGTGAATTTTATTAATTTTGTGAATGAAATGAAATGAATCTTTTACATTATACGTATTATCTGTGATGTTGTTGCGTATATTGGTTAGGTATTTTGTCAAGTTGTATGTTTACTGTTTAATACACGAATGAAATTATTGGTCTTACAGGGTGTTGAGGTTTATTAGTTTTGACAGATCCGTATAGTTTCAGGGGAGGTGGAGAATTGTTTTGGAGTGATTTGTAAGTGTATATGTCAATTTATTTTTGTTTAAGTGTTTCTTGAAGGATTTTGGTGGTCTGTTTGATGAGAGATGGTGTAGGATCTGATTTAGGTGTGCTGCATTTGTTCACCCCATTGAAAATTTTGTTAATTTTTTTTATTGTATTGTTTTTTACTAATTGCTTTTATCATCAGAACATGAAATGCAACAAAAATAGAAGAGGAAAAAGGCATAATACAATCTAAATGCTTTAACACAATAACAAATCACTTACATCTCACTACAAATCGACACAACATATCTCAGCAAATATACACTAAAACAAAAAATTTCTCAACAATAATCCAGGCATACTCATTCTTTCTGCCGATAAAACAAAACAAACAGTAGCAATCAGTAAAAAAATGCAATGAAAAAATTCTTGGACCAACATTCCCAATCGTCCAATTGTCTATCGCTATCAATAGTTTATGCCGTGGTAATATCCTTGTTATTATAGAGCTAAGACCATTCAATAAAAAAATTTTTGCCCTCTCTAAAATGTGTCCGTCCGATCTGTATACTTGTGGATGTTTCAATGTTCTGAACAAAATTTCTCTCAATCGTACAATGGTCCATTATCATCGCTCATACTGTCAGTACAGAACTAAGAGTAATGAATAAAAAAAATAAAAAAATAATCGGATCGTCCCAAATGAGGCCATTGATCTTTGATACCTTGAAATCCAATGCTTGGACATGTTCCAGAACATTTTTTCAACAGTCCTATTATCCATTGAATGAGGCTTGTTAACATTCTAAGAATATTCCAAAAAAACAAAAGGAAAAAAAATGCTACTCACACCAGTACATTACCATCTTTGTCACCTTCAAATACTTTTTTTTTTATGTGGATCTTTCAATGCTTCAACCAACTTTCCCAATCACCCAATTATCCAAAACCTCAGCTTGTTTATTTTATGTTAATATTGTAAGATTGTTACTGCAGAACTAAGAGTATTCAATCAAAAATAATTTCCAGCTCCTTTCAATCGAACCCATCTGATTAGAGCTACAGATAGAATTAGTTAAATTTTGGATCGTCCAATGCTTGGACATAGAACGAAATTTCTTAATGGTACCATTGTTCATTGATATTGCTCGCACTTTTATTATATGGTACGCAATCAATAAATTGCCAGCTCTTCCCAAACGAGTCCATTGATCTTTGACACCTTGAAATCCAATGCTTGGACATGTTCCAGACCAATTTTTTCAATCTCCCTATTGTCCCATGAAAGTGGCTTGTTAATATTCTAAGATTTGTCGATCAAAACAATTGCTGACTTGTTTGAAACAAATCAATCTTATTTTTGACAGTGGGATCCAATTTTTTTAATGTGGATCTTCCAATGGTGTCCATCGACTTTCTCAATCGTACAATGGTCCATTGCTATTCCTCATATTCTTATTCCAGAACAGTACACAATAAAAAAAATTGCCAGCTCTTCCCAAATGAGTCCATTGATCTTTGACACCTTGAAATCCAATGCTCGGACATGCTCCAGACCAATTTTTTCTATCGTCCTATTGTCCAATGAAAGCGGCTTGTTAATATTCTAAGATTTTTTGATCAAAAAAATTGCTGCCTTGTTTGAAACTAGTCCATCTGATTTTTGAAAGTGAGGTCCAATTTTTTTATATGTGGATCTTCCAATGGTGTCGATCGACTTTCTCAATCATACAATGGTCCATTGCTATTCGTCATATTCTTATTCCAGAACAGTACACAATAAATAAAAATTTCTAACACTACCCAATCGAGTCCATTGATCTTTGACACATTGAACTCCAATGCTTGAACATGTTCCAGACCAATTTTTTCTATCGTCCTATTGTCCAATGAAAACGGCTTGTTAATATTCTAAGATTTGTCGATCAAAACAATTGCTGACTTGTTTGAAACAAATCAATCTTATTTTTGACAGTGGGATCCAATTTTTTTAATGTGGATCTTCCAATGGTGTCCATCGACTTTCAAAATCGTCCAATTGTCCATTGCCTTTGCTCGTTTATACCCTGGCACACAAGTCAGAAGGACAGAGTTATTTTTAGTCAGGGATCGGTGGGGTTGTCAGTGCATTCTTCCACTAGTCTAGTATTAATTTGTTTACAAATCAAATCACGGAGCGCTGCAAATCTGACTGTTTTCTGTACTGTGTATTCGGGTATTTTTTGACCCACAGGGATTAACGCGATGCTATTCCATTTGGAAGACTGTACCACTACCCGGAGGGAAGTATTTATCGACCTTTATATTAACGCAGAACTTACAATTAATCAATAATTATAATTTTAATCTTTTTATCGGAAGTATAGATTTGTTTTTTCAAAAAGTGTAAATGATAGGAGAAAAATACTTACAGTGTCTTTTGTCAATTTTCCATAAATAGCTTGTTCGAGGATGGAAGTTTTCCCGACTCCTTTTTTCCCGCAGACGACGATTTTCGCCGTTTTTCCCATTGTTTTTTATTCCACCCGGAGTGAGACACTCACAGTAAACAAGACGAGCCCTATCATAGAAAATGGGTCAATTGAACAGGTTCTACCGTAGAAGTTCTACGGCTCCACGGTGAACTACGACGTACGAAAGATTCGTCCAGGGCGCCACTGCCGTAGTTCTGTCAAAAAACCGATTTTTACCTCGAATAACGAATGAATCAAAATTTATCTTTTCCTTCGCAGTTAAAATAATAAAACAAAAAGTAAGCTTCCATTGCTAAATGAAACCAATATTTTCTATCTAACGAAACATAAAAAAAGTCTATTGCTAATTCTAAAAAAAGAAAAGAAAATTTAAACCAAAACCGATTGTTTCTGCTTTATACATGATCCTGAGAAGTGAATATCGTCAATGCGCATTTCTCGACCCGCGTTGTTTTAAGCCATTCCCCCCCCCCCCGAGGAAAAAAATAACTCGACTTAAATAGCTATTAGTTTTGTCCCATTTACTGCTGTACGCTCGAGTAGATCAAGATTTTTTTTAATTTTGAGATTTCTTCCTTGATCCTGCTGGGATAAAAATCTGTTGGGTCGTTTCCGGTCCGCCTCTCCACGCTGGTTTGGCCAGGTCTGCTCTTCGGTTTCTAGCAGTCTTACGACCTTTCACAAAGAAACTTCTTGGTTTGTAAGAACGTCTGAAGATGCCGAGAAACCGAAAAGGCAAAACTGCTATCATAGTCAGGAAATGATCAGAACGGCCAAACTACAAAATTCTTCAATAACCTGCATTCTAAGAGATTCTTCCGGATACTCCCATGAAATGATTATAAAACAGTACAACATTAATTTTATTTTATAAAAGTTGTAAACCCACAGGAAATTCAAGTGATACAATATAACAAGTGAAGATTCAATGTCGATCCATTCCGCTAATAGTGTTAAAAACACTGAAAATTTCTCTTTAATCTCCTTATACATTTTTTGTTTTTCAAAGAATTATAGGTTTCCTACATTAATTTAAACTACCTGATAGACACACTGGCCCCAATTGTTTCAATGGCAACAACAGGCTGAATACTTATGTAAACCACTAAAAGGTTAAGGGTTAAAAAGGACCTGGTCTCTGCTTTTTACCAAATTCTTAAGATTTGTTAAGGGCTCCTATTTCCATCAGACCTTGGCTTTTCCTCTCCCAGTTGGAATTTTAGCATACATAGGCCTTTATAACAGAGGACATCTCTGATTCAACTTCTTCCTGGCAATGTCAGAAGAGGTTTGTTACTGCTGCTGAGTCTTAGTGACTGGGAGTAGTTTTTATGTCCCTGACAAGGGCCAGTGTTGTTGAGACGATGTATCGAGGCCGGGACCGTGAGTCGGCTGATTTTACATTGGTTGAAGGGTCTGGTACAGCAGTTGGCCGAGTACAATGGTTTGCCTGTAGACAAGTCGGCTAAGTTGAGAAGACGAGTTTGAGGCTAACGCTGAGAGTATTCTTGCCATTGTTGTAGGTGCTTCATTAGTGATAAGCAAGAACTTGTCGGAGAGATGAGTCTGCTGTTGTTGTCGATTAATGATTGGTGAGAGCTCGTTAGGTAGACGAGTCTCAAGGTATGAGTGAGACCTTGTCGGGTTGACGAGTCTGAACATCTGAAGCCAGTGGGGTATATACGCTCTGGCTCTGATTTACTGTAGAGTGGAGGGCGAGACCATTCCAGAAACAGTAGTGATATCTAATGGGTACCGTGGTACTAGAAGTCTATGTGCATCTGGAGTTTAGCAGCCCTACTATCATTGTAGCCTGAACACATCCTAGGCTTAGTAATACTGCATTTAGATTTTATGATGGTCTTTGAATCTTTTGTAAGCTTCTGTCCTGCAAAAGATTCCTATTGAACAGAGGGCTTATTGATAACCCATCATCTGTTGGATTTACTTTTTTGGCAATTGTGGCATACCTAATTGTCATTTCCATTTACTGTAATTTTAACAGTTGTTTATTTAAATTTTGAGATAATGTTTGGAGGTCTACTCTCTACCATGATATTGTAATTTTGTTGTTATCAGTAATTCTTATAGTATCTTCCATTCGTAGAATATTCTATCAGTAATTTGCTGGGCTAGTCTGTTGGACATTTTTTCACCTGTTGCTTCAAACTGAAAACTCTTTTAACTCTTACAAATTTATGCAAGAGTTGACCAAAAAATATGGTGAAATTTTTTGATAGGATCTGAAGAGTGATCAGCCTGTAGTTTATTTATTTATTTTTAAAAATCATTTTGGTCATGCTGTCACCACAGTTTTGCTCTGTTAGACGCTTGTTAACATTCACCATCTTCACACCAATACAACTCTTCCAAATTTATTAAAGAGGATTGACAAAAAATGTGAAATTTCTTCATGGGTTCTGCAGAGTGATAAATCTGTAGTTTTGGTCTTTTTTGATAATTTTTTCAGCCTATCCTTGATGTTTTGCTCTGTCAGACGCTTTTTAACATTCACCACTTCACACCACACAACACTTCCACCTCTTACAATTTCATTAAAGAGAATTGACTAAAAAAATGTTGTGAAATTTCTTCATTGGGATCTGCAGAGTGATCAACTGTAGTTTTGGTATTTTCTGATAATTTTTTCAGCCTATCCTTGATGTTTTGCTCTGTCAGACGCTTTTTAACATTCACCACTTCACACCACACAACACTTCCACCTCTTAGAAATTTATTAGGGAGAATTTACTAAAAATATTTTGAATGTTTTTCTTCGGCCAGGAGCATGTCGGTTGGCTGTTTCCAGTCATTTTGGTCTGCCTATCATCACTGGGGGACTTTTTGTTTTTGTATAAAAATTTAAGTTCTTTTATTTTTAAAATCAAAAGTAAACTTAATTTATATGAACAATTTGACCGACAAAAATTAGTACAGATCATTTGTGAAAAATCAGATATTTCCTTTTTCAACAAAAAGATTGTGAGATTTGTCTACGTTGTCTCCACAATGGTGGGTGGCTTGTCACCCTCATTTCAGCATTTTGAAATCTTTCTTGGATCTGCAAACTATCGAAAATAGTCAGACCAGGACGATCGGTAATGACCAAATTACAAAATAGATATAAAATACAAATAAATCCGGTTTAATTTTAAAATTGTATTTCCACAGGGAAAATTTTACTTTATGAGATAAAGGTTTTTTCTTAAAATTATATTTACATTTCACAAACAGTTTTAACTTTAAAAAAAATTAAATCATAACTAATTAAGGTTTTCACGGTTTACAGGAAAAAAATTAACATATTAATCAGCCACAGTAAGCAAGCAGACCTTCGTTATTTACTGTCTATCAATATTTCTAACGAAATATACCCGACACAGTATGTGTATGAATGAGTAGGAATTTAATGAAAAAACTATCAAAATGTAGGTAATGTTTATGAAACAATCTTAATTTAAAATTTGTGTAAGAGGAATTAGGAAAAGGAAATAATTTCCTTTGTTTGAAATATGAAGGATTCATAAAATTTTATTGACACTCTTAAATTAGAATATGTTTATTTACAAAATAATATTCTAAAATATTAGAGATCAAAAATTATTCCTACTCTAATATATCAATTCCTAACTTTATTGAACTAAAGAATAATAAGAAAACTTTTGTTTACAACAATTTAATCGACAGCACAACAAAGAAAGCAAGCTTTAAAATTGCATGCTTGCCTTCATAGAAGACAGATCGATAGGAAAAGGTAATAAATCAGAGGAAACAAACGGAAGTTTTAGTTTGTACTCAGTTTAAAACATTAATTTTTTTACTGAAGAACATTTTAATATCAATCATAAGGAAAATTGCAATTTGCTTTGAAGAATGAAAACTAGTGAAAATTGAAATATCATCAAACATTTTAGAACTCATCGTTATAAACAGATAAACAGTAACAAATCTAATTATTATATTCAGAAATTCTGCCAAATCGAGGGGAAAATGGGACCATACGTCCGAGCCTAGGTGCAAATGGAGGAGATCTTGATGTTTCTGTGAATATAATATCTTCCTCTCGCCCTAGCCTGGGCCTAAAGTTTACGGTGTTCCTGCTTGCTGCTGCAAAAAAAAAAATAAATTACACAACAGTTAGTTTATATAAAATGGAATTTTTGTCATACATTTGTATTAATAAAAAAATTAAAACAACAAAATTTAAAATAAATCTGATTAATAAAGGATTCAGAGGCCAATTTATTACAGTTAAAATCATTAAAATAATTTAAGAATTTCTTGGTTATGATAATAATGCATTCCCTCTCGAAAAAAATCGCAAAACCATGAAATTTTTATACTTTCACAAGAACGTCTGGTTTTACAAAAATCAAAAAGGCTCAAAAGTACAACTTCTACCATTTCATGTTTGAAAACTGAACATATTGGGATATGTTTTAGTCCCAGATCTTTAATACAGCATCTTTAGCATTCCGAGGGTTTATCCTTAACCATGAAGATTAATTCAGGTTAATTCCCTACATGATATTGTAGGGTTAGGTTCTTGCTGGCCACTTAAGGGCACCTGTGGTGTTCAGGTAGGCAAAAACACAAGTTGTTTTATTTGACTGAGCTATCACACATAAGCAATGATTTAGTGCCTAAGAAAGGCACAAAAAGCATGACATGATCTTGTAGGATCATCTCCATGCATCTTTAATTCGAGGCCTTCGATTGGTACTAATTCATTGCCTCCCAAGAAAAGTCATCCTAGAACATGACACAGCTTTTTCCAAACGTCACTGTTTCTTTCTGATGTGGAGCACTATATATTTCGCCAGACTACTTCACAGCCGGCTGTTGAAGCAAGCCTAAGAAAGGCATAAAAGACACTAGATGATATTGTAGGATCATTTCCACATATCTTAAGTCATTCAAGGCCTCGGATCGGTACTCAGTACACGTCTAACAAAAAATGCTGCCCTAGAACATGATACAGCCTTTGCCAAATGCCACTGTTTCCATGTGCATCTGTATCATTCTCCACTCTTTCAAGGCCATCTTGACTATTAAGGGCCACTCTTGTCTCATCAGCGAATAGGACTAGTCCTCAAATTGGCAAATCATAGACTTTCTGTATTTCTGGGGTTAGGAAGCCTTTTATGGTCCTCCTTGAGCTAAGGTTTGTATCAGTTTTCTTCAAGATTGATATTCCTAAATACTAACAATCATGGTTTTAATGGCAGAAGCTGTTAAATGGTTGGCATTTTAATAAAGCCATCTGGTATTGGTAATTCTAGGACTGAATTTGTTCATTTTGATTGACCCCAAGTCTCCCATACCCTTGTTATTCCCTTGATGTAATGTAGCGAAATAATTTCCCTTCTTCATGGTGAGTGATGCTTCTGACAATTCATCACAACTTAAACAGCTCATTATAACAGAAAAAATTAATAAAGTAAATAAAATAGAGAGAAATTGCTAGCAGGTGCTAAGAAAAGGTAAAAATTGGCTGAAAATAAAATTGAAATGAACCGCGATAAACTTTGATCCTTTGTTTGTAATAATAATACTGTAAATACTACCATACTACTACAATACTAGTATTAGAAAATATCTAGATTTATAGGTTTTGCGATATTTTTGACGAGGAGTGTTTTTAAGAAAACATGTTTAGGTTTTTATAGTTTGTATTCACTGTTCAAAATCCTGGTTCTGTCGACAAGACAATAACCATCCAACTTATTTCCGGTCTGTTTAGAAAGACTGCTAAAATAAAATTAATCGTTTTATGTTAGTTTACAGATGCATGTTCAATATACAAATGATAGTACAATATATTCATTACTACATTTTAAACAATTATCAACAGGCACAACATTTTTTTTAATGTAAAAAGATCACATTTAAAAGCCAAACGTTTCTATAAAAATGCATCAAATTTTTTTTAATATTATTTGTTTATACAGGCAACATCAACCAATGAAACTGTACTTGATTTGATTTTTTAAATTTTAAAGGCAAAGAATTAAAAATAATTAATTAGATTTAATAGTTAACATTACTGCAAACCTACCTCTCAAGTGAACACTAGACGCTTTTCACAGGGAATCCAGGTTGCTAAATATAGGAAGAAATAACAACTAAGGCCTATAAATTAATATAAAAACTATTTTAAAATAAGTACCTAGGGGTTTAGCTTTTTGTGGAAACAGTTGAACATGGAATCCATGTCTTCTTTAAAATTTAATATCAATTGCTAGGGCATAATTTGACTTATCCATCAGCTACCAAATTAAGTCTTGAAATTTAGGATTGCCTTTTTTCCAAAGATCTCAGTTATGTATGACCATTTGGACGGATCTGTTAATGTTGAGTTTTCTTCTTATTTTGTCATGAACCGTTGTCGAAATCACTTGATATCACGACCCTCCTCACAACCTTCCTGAATGACTTAAATCCCTCCTAACTCCCCTGATAACCCTTCTTACAACTGTAGTGAACCGAATCCTGCCTAAACTATTTCGATAATTCCTTCTCCTCAACAATCGTCAGTTATTCTTTGGAATGCCAATGGCTTAAAAGCCCATAAACAAAAACTTGACATAATGCTTCATGACAAACTTACTGATGTGGCAGTGATTACAGAAAACCACTTTACCTTTACTTCTCAATGAATGACAACCTGGCCTATTGGACCGACTATCCTGCCAAAAAACCTCAGGGTTGAATGGCAATCCTTATTTGTAATTCTGTCTCACTTCTTTAACTCTAGCACTCTTTCCGACTCCTTAATGTTTACTCCCGTCCCCTTAGATACATTTTCTTCTTCCTTAAATACAGCAGCTGCATATTGTTGTCTCAACAAACCATTCTTCAATGAGCAATTCCTTTCCTTTTTCCGTATTTCAAACCTACGTGGGCTGACTCTACTCAATGCACTATCCACAACATCCTATTTATATCTCCTTCAGAGCATACCTAAGATTAAATTGGCCTATTTATTTCTACAAACAACCTGATATTCTTGACTTTTTTATTTCATCTGGTATTTCTACTTCCCACACAGAAATTCTGACTTCTCAAGTCTTATCCTCTGACCACAGCCCTGTTCTACTAACCCTGAAGTCCCAACCACTGATTAGACGACTACCCTCTTTAACTACAGGACCTGTTGACTGGAACAGGAATGAGACATCATAGATAGAGATATCGATTTAAAGATTATAGAAGACATCAATGCTGCAGCAGAGCACTTGAACTAAGTCTGTTCAACGATCTGCTTGTGCTTCAACAGGTGCTGTGGTTCACAACAACCTTTGACATCAACATAAGACTTACTCTTACCTCCTCACTTACGATTAGTCCTGACTAAAAAAGAAAGTCTTTCCACAAACAACCCAATATTCTTGACTTTCTTATTTCATCTGGTATTTCTACTTCCCCAAACACAGCCATCTTCACATTTGCTGACAATATGGCTATACTCTCTTGAAACTCCAACCCATCTGTTGTAAACTCCTATCTGCAAGTCACCTCACCCTATTAGAAGACTGGTACCATGAATGAAGAATCAAAGTGAATGAAAGCAAAAGTGCTGTTACTTTTCCACAAAGAAAATAGCTTTGTTCTCTATTACAACTGATATCAACTGCTGACATAATACAATACCTGGGAGTGTAAGTAATAAAAGATTGACATGGAACCACACACTCACCTGAAACGACATTACAATCTTTTACTGAGACTACTAAACCAACAATTTCACCTTACTCTTAACAACAAACTGATCATTTACACAACTCTCATTCATCTGATATGGACAGAATGGAAGTTTGGGTAGTTTTCTTTGCAAACAAGAACATCCCAATTCATCCCGTGTAGTCTCTCCAAAGAAAAATCCATAATGATCCCTTCTACCATTCACACCGACTTCCATATTCCATTCATTCAAGACCTTGTAAGAACATTTATCTGAAATCCCACAATACCCTCTCTGTACACCCAAACCCCTTCGTCGAACAACTATATTTAAACAAAAATCGCAAATGTACAGGAATTTTAGTTTATATCTCATACCATCTCCCAAGTTTTTTAATGGTTTAAAGAAAGGGTTAATTTGAACTTTAAAAAACGTTAATTTAAAGTTAAAAAAGGTTAATTTGACGGACTCAAGGTTATATGGAATGCTGAATGAATTTATTAGCGTGAATGTACAATTAAAATGTTTTATATCATACCATATTCTAAATCTGTTTAATACTTTAAATAAAAGGTTTATTTGAAATTAAAAAAGTTGGTTTGATCTTAAGTAAGATAATTTGATGTAAAAGCTTTATAATGAGATTGAATGCATTTATTATTAACATGCTTATATTTCATATCATCTCCTAAAGATTTTTACTGCTTAAAAAATAGGGTTCATTAAAATTAAAAAGCTATATATTAAGGTGAATGTATTTATTAGCGGGTATGTTTAATTTACTTGCTTACATTTTACAGTAACTCCTAAATGTTTTTAATCATTTAAAGAAAGGGTCAATTTGAATTTAAAAAAAGTTAATTTGATGGGGAAAAATATGTTCAGGTTGAATGTATTTATTAGTGTTAATGTTTAATTCACATGTTTATATTTTGTTCTATCACCTAAATGTTTTTATGCTTAAAAATGGTTCATTTTAAGCTTAAAAAAAGGGTTAATTAGAAGTTAAAAACCTATATATTTTTTGGTGGATGTATTTTTTTTAAGTGAGAATGTTTAATTTACATGCTTGTATTTCATACTATCACCTGAATGTTTGTAATGCTTAAAAAATGGGTTAATTTGAAGAGAAAAAAGCTATACTTAAAGAAAAGTGAGATAGAAATAGTATCTCTTCGGGAAATTCGTAATTGTTTGACATTTGCAATTGGGAAAATGTTTAAATAAATAAAACAGAAAAAATATAAAGATAAAATGTTTTGAAATATGTGTGTTTGTCTTTCCTTTGACAAGTAGTGAAAGGTAAAAGAGGTCCTATAAAGGTATGTAAGGTATGGTATGAGGATACTAGGAAGTGGGGTTTGTGCTCCCCAGACATTGCGGCCTTTTGGCTTATTGTACCTTCCTAGTTCCTTAGTTCAGTGCAATCCTCTCCTTAGAAGTATCAAGGTCATTGACTGTCACTGCTGCAATTTGATTCCCTAAGTTTTTTCCATACATTAGGTTAAATTTCCATTGAGCTGTTGCTTTGTATTCGAAGATGATATGGGTGGATGTTTCCTCCTCCTCATTACATAATCATAAGATGGGATCATCGTTGTGTATGACCATGTTGTGTAGATGTTTTCTCAGATGCCAGTGACCGGTTATTAGTCCTACAACTCCTCTGCATTTGGTGCTCTCCAATTGCAGCAGTGATTTTGCCAGTCTTGGTGAGGGGTGTTTCACCATAAGTTTACTGTGTCTAGCACCGCTAGAGATTATCCATTTCTTCTTTTGTTTTGTTTGGATCCATTCTGCGATGGAGGATTCTATATCTGTTTTTGTTATCCCAAATATAGGTTCGGTTCCTATGTATGGTCTTGCAGATCCTCCTCTGGCTAGACTATCTGCTTTCTCATTACCCAAAATGAGATATCATCAGGTTGTTGTGTTTCCTCAGGTTTTGGAGATTCTGAATGCATTCACTGACTAATTTTGATGTGATTTTTTACATGCTGATGCTTTAATGGCTGCTTGCATATCAGATCTTATGAGGATTTTTTTTGCCAGTGTAACCTCTTTTAAGATTTTCCAGGGTACAGGCATTGATGGCATTTATTTCTGCTTGAAAGACCGAAGTGTTCTTCCCTAATGAGTTTGATCGCTCATGTTTTGGGCTTGTATAGAGAACACTCGATCCGGTTCCTTCGTTTGTTTTGGAGCCACTTGGGATACCATATCATTGTATCTGATGCTCTCCTGTGTTCTTCCTCTCCTCTGTAGTCTGTTGAGACTTATAGGAAGTTGTAAAGAATGTTACAGTGATCATATAGTCAGTCCCCATTTCTAATAATGGGTGTCTGATTTTGTTGATTATGGTTGTATGCCCGAATTGTTTAGTTCCTATCCAATTTAATCGGTTCTGAAGTCTAAGTTTTTCTTCTCCTTATATAAATATTTCTAGTGAAGGTAGGTTTAGCAGAGTTTCTAATGCATTTGTAGAGGTTATTCTCGATGCCCCTGTGATACATAGGTTTGCTAGTCTTTGAATGCTGCCTAAAGTTTGGGTAGCTAGTTTTTGTTCCACCAGATTGTATGTAAGGTATGTCACAAGAGGTTAAAGGGAAAATATGGCATCTGTAAGATGATATATCTAATTTTTGCAGATGTTGTTAAACTATGAGCGTATAGGATTTTTTTAAAAGATATATTTGGCGACAGTTCTATCTATAGTTCAGTGTTCCTGTTTTAGATGGAAAAGAATCATTATTTTAATGTTTTTTACGTGTTGCCAAAGAGAGCATTATTTTTTGAATGGTTGCCAACAGGTAAGTTTCGTATTTCATGATTCACGGTATTACCACAGTCTTGTTATTTACTCAAACAAACACAATCGTCCTTAATTGGGAAATGGATAAAATAAGAGGATGAGTAGTGAATTTATCATTTCACCATATATGTAGCTAACAACCGATCCTCTGCCAACAGACACAGTGGCGCTGCGTTAATTTTAGGCGGCAATCTCAGTTTAAAAATACAAACGAATAATGTTTTATGGAATCGTTATTTTTATGCAACTGGAGATTAAAAAAAAGTCCAGTAATGTATATATTATATAATAGATACTATCATAACGATATATCGCTTGAAATAGAAAAATAAAGAAAGAAATAATGACACTTGAAGTAGATATCATTAGGTAAACAGAATGATGATAATGGGCTAAGAAACTTCAGTTTAAAACGACATCAGTGATGAGCCAGTTTTCATTGTTGTCATTCCGACCCGAAATGTACGTGCGATACAGTTATTCGAGAAAAATCGCATCATTCCGGTTAGAATCCAGTTATTAGCCGTCTACTAGGGGCACGGGATAAAATGGATGTTTAAACTCCAAATACAATTAATCTCGATGAAACCGTTGAAAAACTGATATCGAAATCATACGGGTGCCTATCACTATTCATCTTGAGAGTTTCGAGCCAGAGAAGTCAGACGCGGCGCGGCAGTCAGGTACGATTTTTGATGTAGTCTACAGACACCGTTTAGGGTCATCGGCCATCTAAAAAAATTCTTTTGATATCTTTCACAAAAAAAAAACCTTGCCATTTTCAAAGGCTGCAAACCAACAATTTATTCAAAAAACACCGCACTGAAATCCATTGAAACCGCTTATCAATTTAATTTGTTTTTTATCTGTAACGATTCGGTTTTTTTTTGTCGATAAAGATAACTTGAACTATCTCTGCAGTAGAAAATAAATATAAAAAAAAATTTTGGATTATTTTCAGGCTTGGGAAATAATAAAAAACTGTATTTTCCGGACCATAGACTTTATCGTAGTAATAACATTTTTCCTGACTCATTAGGACTTCATGATTTTTGCCTATTTTTCTAAAAATTTTTTTTTTGCTAAATTAAAACATTATGGATTTTAAAATTTCTGTTTTTCTTAAGTAAACAGTAGACTGTTTAAGTAACGCCACTTTAAACATTTTACAAATAGAATTTTGATTTAAAAAAAAAAACTATATTTTTACCTAGTTCATAGAAGTTTGTAATAACAGAAATTGGGAAGTCCAAGGAGATCCGCACATTACAGACACAGGTCCTGGAGAATTCCAAAATCCGGATTTTTTTTTTTTTTTCAGGGTTGGAAAATAACAGAAAACTTTATTTTCCCGACCACAGAGTTTATCGTAGTGATAACATTTTTCCTGATTTATTAGGACTGTTTTTTGCCTATTTAAAAAAAAAAAATTTCCCTAAATTATAAATTTATGTATTTCAAAATTTCTGTTTTTCTTAAGAAAACAGTAGACTGTTTAAGTATCGCCACTTTAAAAATTTTACAAATAGAATTTTGATTTAAAAAAAACTATATTTTTACTTAGTTCATAGAAGTTTGTAATAACAGAAATTGGAAAGTTCAAGATTTAAACACAGGTCCTAGAGAATTCCAAAATTCAGATTTTCTTGGATTTTTTGGATTATTTTCAGGCTTGGAAAATAAAAAGAAAACTGTATTTTCCTGACCATAGACGTTATCGTAGTGATAACATTTTTCCTGACTTATTAGGACTTCGTGTTTTTTGCCTATCAAAAAATTTAATTATAACGTTATGGATTTTAAAATTTTTGTTTTTCTTAAGTAAACAGTAGAGACTGTTTAAGTTACGTCACTTTAAAAATTTTACGAATAGAATTTTGATTTAAAAAAAAAACTTTATATTTTTACTTAGTTCGTAGAAGTTTGTAATAACAGAAATTGGAAAGTCCAAGGAGATCCGCACATTTCACCGACACAGGCACTAGAGAATTCCAAAATCCGGATTTTCCTGTCGAATACCCCCGACATAGGATTCCAAAGTGCACGACTTTCACCAATAAGAAATGAAAGTAGCTTAAGATTGCAAGAGAGAAAAGAAAGAAAACAAAGACAAAAGGACCAAAATTTGAATAAGATATCCGATTTCAAAGCGGTTTTTAAATTGTAATCCGGTTGCCTGCAGAAAGATAACTGAATATCCCCTCCGGCATTGCTTAATATAATATGCGTTTATCTCTACGTTGCTGACAACGACGAAGGTCACAACTTGCAAATCCGTCAGTCATCAGAAATATATCTGGAAACGCTGTTGCATAATTGTCCAGATAGCCGGTTTCTATGAATTTTTTTGGAGAAAAATTTATTACATTTCAAAAAAAAAAAAAAAATCGGGTTAAATTCCAAGGCAAAATTTTCATTTTCTTACCCGAGAGAACGAGGTCTTCAGACTGACAACGGTTCAGTGAAACGAGGTATTTTCAACCCAAGGTCGAGTGATTTGACACACAAAATTTTTGTTGAAATGCCAAATTTCGATCTGTCAAATAGGTTGGAGTTTGGTGGACGATGTCGAAAGTGAAAACCACCTCGGTTCGAATACCAACCATCCCACTAAAGCATAAGAGCGGATTTCAAAGCCGAAGAAATTTTCTGTTTCTCTTGTGTCCTAAGCACTTTTAAATTTAATTTTTTACCTAGATATTGACTTTAACGGGTTTTATTCCAGCAGAATGAACATCTATGAACTGTTCTCTTCTTTCTTCTCTTTCCGTACTTCTTATATTCATACATTTTTTACAAGGTATTTTCCAGCTCATATATTCCTTAACATATTTAAAACATCATATATTTGTAATTATTTTTTAAACAGCCCACCCTCTTAAAAAAAGGAGTTTGTTTCAACAAAAGCAAGATTCCTTTTAATAAGTGGACCCTAATCTATAGGACGTGCAATTATAACCGTTTCCGTGTCAACATAAACCATTAATCTCGCCGGTATAAATGGGAAATCTTTTAATAGACAGATACAGGAAATATTCTAATTCAATTTCAACTTTCCAATAAATATAACCGAGATGGCGAAAAGAATCTGCGATCCTGGTTCGATTCCCATCTATCCCATGGAATTTTGTGAATAATATGGAGAATTTATTGTAAAGAGGTTCAGACCATTTTGTTCGTTAAACACAACGGGGTAATTTGAAGTTAAGCTCTCATTTGAGTACCAAGAATTGCCACGTCAGCGGTCCTAGGTTCGAATCCTAGCCCATCCCATGGAATTTTATTTGAGATTTGGAAAAAAAACTCTTTACAACAGGATTTATTTTACTATTCCTCTGTATTCTTGGGAGGCTAGCGGTCCTGAGTTCAAATCCGGGCAAGACCCTTTGAATTTTGAGATTTTCAAAAAAGTATTGCAATGCGGTTCTGACCACTTCGTTCGCGAGTCCCAAGAGGTATTTGGACGTTATGCTCTTCTTTATGACAGGATTTAATTTGCTATTTGTACATTCTGAAAAGCTAGGCCTCCTGGGTTTGAATTGATAATTTCTCCCAGCTCTTTACTACGGCTCTAAACTGACCTATTTGAACATACGGAGGTGTGGGATACCACCAATCCATCTAATATCCAACTGATCTAAGCATTCGAATTCACGGTCCTCAGGAAAATTCTCCTAGCTCCTGACTACGACTCTAACCTCACATAATGATCTCAACCGTTCTCCCTTCCTAAAGTTTCACTCTGTTCTTTGAACCCATTTTACATTGACTAGTCGGTTTTTCCAAACATTGTCCTTTGAGTGCTGACCATAGTACGACATATTTGACCATACGGAGGTGTGGGGTACCACCAAGCATCTAATATCTAACTGATCCAAACAATTAAATCAAAAATCCTCAAAAAAAATGTCTAAGCTTATTGCTACAGCTCTAAAAATACACAAAGACCTCAATCATTCCCGTTTCCTTAAGTTCCACTTTCATCTGTCAGCCCATGCTAACCATACTGCTAAAGCCAAAAAGCTGCAAAGGACGATGGCCTTGAGATCTCCTCGCTCCTCAATCCCTCATTGTTGAATGCCACTGTTGACTGGTTTCTCCTAACATTTACCCTCCGGGGGCTGACAAAGTATGATATATTTGGCCATACGGAGGTGTGGGATACCACCAAGTTCACACAATGACCTCAATCATCCCATTTCCTTAAGTTCCACTCTCATCTGTCAACCCATCCTAACATTGCCAACCGTACTGCTAAAGCCAAAAAACTGCAAAGGACTGGTTTTTCCTAACATTTACCCTCCTGGTGTTGACCAAATTATGACATATTTGGGCATACGGAGGTGTGGGAGTTCACAACCTCAACCGTTCCCGTTTCCTCAATTTGACGCTGAACTGTCAACCCATCCTAACCAAACTGCTCAAGCTCAAGAACTTCAAACGACGATGAACTTGAGACAGAGAGATGACCAAAGAGCAATTTGTAATGTGCGTAAACCTTTTTTTTTAAAATAGACCTTTGGGTTATAACACTGTTTATACAATTGCGTTATTTTGATAATCAGTTTAAAATAAACTGCCAGGCACGGTTTATTTCTGTTTGTAAAAATCATTGAAATAATTTTAAGTACCTTTCCACTTACAAAAATGGAAAGGTATCTGATATCGTATGCTATCTGAGGGGGGAAAATACGTTCTTATAAGCTATCTGGTCAGACAAATTTGTTGGTAAATTATATTAAAATTAAGGGAGAGCACTTGCCGTTGACCGGGGCTGCGTGTGCTCGCTGTGTCGAAACGAGTGCTCTGCCTGGGTTCACAAGGCGTCGCTTTTGCAAAGTCCGAAGTTTGCTCTTCGTTCGGCTTTTTCTGTTTCCCATACTGAAACAAAATTTTGAATTAATTTTCTTTTTTTGAGATGTGCAAGGGTGGAAACGGTCGAAGATCGGTGAGCACTGAGACCTAGCGACAGTCCTACTCCCAATTTATACCCGGCGTCACTAAATCCCCTGTCAATCGGAAGGGTAATTTGTTTGTAGGAACGGAGGAGTAAACAAATGATGCTTTTTTTTCCCTTGATTAAAATAGACAGAATAGGGTGAAGAATGTAAATTAACGATCTTAATGAAAATGTTATCTAACCGTTTTTCCTTGGATATTTTTTGCGTGTTTTTTTCGAATTATACTAAATTTTAACAATAAGATGACATAACGGTCAATATTTTGGAAAATGAGTCACACAGTAAAGCCTGCCAATATTAAAATATCATCATATCATGAATTCGGTACTATTGTTTCTTTTACTACTTCTGTTTTAGGTATTAACTTGTTTATAAACAATTATTGTTTGGCTTTTCGTTTATTTCATTTTCACAATTAGTTTCTACTCTCCAACCGGGACTGTTTGTACTCTTTGATTCTTACTTTCGAAAAAAATGTCCGTAAAATACTTTCGTACGAGCTCACACTTTTGCCGAGACTTTGGTCACACCTTCGGACGAGTTTCGTTGGGCAAAATTTATATGGATTTATTTAAGAAATACCAGTAAAGAGGAGAGACCGGTATAGGAGAACCGTGTCAACGGCCATTCGACGATGTGATCGGGCCCTGCCCCGCCCAGACCACAAGATAAGACCTAGGGGGGTAAGTGCTACGCCTATTTAATAAGCACCTAAAAGTTTAAGAGAAAAAAAAAACTAAAACCAGTTTCTCTCTCTCTCACTCTCTTCTACCTATATTCTCTATCTTTCTCTCTCACACATTCACTCACTGACTCTTTCTCTCTCTCTCTCTTTCTGTTATTCTCCCTGTCCTTCTCTCTCTTTCTTCTATCTATCTCACTCATTCACTCACTGACTCACTCTCACTCTCTCTATATAACTATCTTTCTCTCTCATTCATTCACTCACTGATTCTCTCTCCGCTCTCTCTCTCTCTCTTTTTTTTTTGCCTTATGGTTTAGCATATTGGCCAAATCTCTAAACTTCAAGTTTGAAATGTATACTTTTGTTGTATTATATTACCATATAATTTTGGGATAGGAGCTTAGAGAGAGAGGAAATTATTTTGGGATTGCTCTCTCTCTCTCTCTCTCTCTCCCTTCACTCACTGACTCACTCTCTATCTTTTTCTTTCATTCTCCACTCACTGACTCTCTCTCCCCCCTTCCCACTCTCTCTCTCACTGATTCACCCTCTATCTGTCTGTCTGCCTGTCTGTCTGTGTGTGTGTGTGTGTGTCTCTCTCTCTGCTTCTTCCTTTCTCTCACTACTGTCTCTTTCGTTTTCATTGATTCACTCATTTGCACACACACACACACACACACACACACACACACACACACACACACACTCTCTCTCTCCACCCTCGTTCTCCCTTCCTCACCATCCATCTCTCCCAAATAGCTTGTTTTATTTGCTTCGTTTGATTCCATTTCTTGAACTTTTGAATTTGAGGAGCACTGCACTATATAATTCTAGAACAAAGTTTGAGAAAACACTTTACTTTCACGCTTGGTTATTTTTTAAGGAAAATTATAATAAACGTATTTCGTCCGATCGCAAAATACCACCTGGTTTAATGTAGTACTGAAATTTAAAATAAATTAATCATAGACGACCCTGAAGGCGTGAGCGGATCGAACCCAAAATTTTAACCGATATCAAAATGGAGCTCAAGTCCCTTGTTCTTGCGATTTATGTCGTTATTTTAGGGATTCGTCCGTTTTAATATCCGGCCAGCTGTTGGCATTGAGGATTATGTGAAAATGTCCACACTGGCCAAGGACGAACCAGCGAGAATAGACGGACCGAGATATAATCTGTAAATGATCAAAATCCATCCAGTCTCAGATGGACAAACTCCAATAATCACTCTTTAAAAACAAAAAACGACTGTACTTATAAACTGCCATGATGATTTTTAAAACCTTGTCCTTGATTTATGTTTAGAAACTAACAAATTTATGAAAGAAGCGATGGGACGATATACTGGGAAAAAATGCAGGCTTATAACTATGCTCTCGATGACTTCGCTATTTTTTTTAATAGAAATTCTAGTCGGTTATGGGACAAATTCTATGGCTTTAATCGCTGACAGCTTTCACATGCTCAACGATGTCACAGCTCTTGTTATTACAATGTTATCCATTAAGGTAAGTAAAACTCATTTAAAAAAATAAATAAATAACCAGCTTGATTAATTAATTGATTTTTGCAGATGGCTCCGAAAAAGTGGTCGAAAAATACATACGGATTTGCAAGAGCTGAGGTGTTAGGGGCGCTAATAAACGCCGTATTTTTGGCGGCCCTTTGTTTTTCAATAACTGTAGAAGCGATTAAAAGGTAAAAAACAAAGAATGGCAAATACACGTACAATTTTAATGAACGATAATCAAAAATGCATCAACGTTTTTTTGACATACGGCATCAAAACACTTATAGCATGAGAAAGATTCCAATGGCTTTGAGACTATAGTTGGCGACTAGAATGTGGAAAAATTGGCCTTGAAATTATGTAATCCGTGGACGAGGAAAAAAAAAATAAGCGGGAATTTGAATAAACATTAGTTATTGTCATTCCCTGAACTGGCTGACTGAGACCTTTTTCATTTACATTTAGAAATAATAAGGTGAAATACTGAAAGATGATGTACTCTTAATCTGTCAAACTGCTGTTGCAATGTTCAAAGTTTTCTGAAACAACCTGACAACACAAACCTACTAACTTGGTTAATAATTGATAATTAATTACTTAACTGACATTGCAAATGAAGACAAATAAATACCAAACGGTGATGCCGTAGGTTTCAATCATCTGGGGATTTTCCTCCACTAACTGATATTCTCAATCTAACTATCATTGAAATGTTCAAAAATCGACTTAATACAAACCTATTTACTTAATATTTACAAATAATACATTTTGATGAAGACGAGTACTAATACAATGATGGAGTAGGTCTCAATAACCTGAGGATTTTACACGACTAACTGATATTGCTAACCTAACCAATCCTACTGTTGAAACGACGTCCAGAATTATTTGTTAATATTAACAAATGTTACATTTTGATGAAGACGAGTACTAAATGATGATGGAGTAGATTTTATTCATCTGAGGATTTTCCTCCACTAACTTATACAGTTAACCTAACCAATCTACTGTTAAAATTATGTCCAGAACTATTGAAACAATTTGACATAACACAAATGTATTTTCTTAATATTGACAAATGACAAATTTAGATTAAGACAAATAATAAATGTTGATGATGTATTTTTCCATAGGATTCTACTGCTCCTCACAGATACTCTTAACCTAACCAATCTACTATTAAAATGTACAAAATTATTGAAACATTCTGACATAACACAAACCTATTTACTTAATATTAACAAATGTTCCATTTTGATGAAGACAAGTACTAAATGATCAGAGTACAGTAGATATCAATCATCTGAGGAGTTTCCATGATTAACTAATACTGTTAACCTAACCAATCTACCGTTGAAATTATGTCCAAAATTATTGAAATAATTTGACGCAACACATATCTGGTTACTTAATATTAACAAAACGATGATGGAATAGGTTTCAATCATCTGAAGATTTTCCCCCACTAACTGATACTCTTAACCTAATTTACTGTTGAAATGTACAAAATTATTGAAACAGTATTTGACATAACACAAACCTATTTACTTAATATTAACAAATGATCCATTTTGATGAAGATGAGTACTGAATGAGGTTGAAGTATGTTTCACATCTGAGGATTTTCTTCTATTAACTGATACTCTTAACACAACCAATCTACTGTTGAAATGTTCAAAATTGTTGAAACAATCTGACTTACACCAAAATAATTTACTTTATATTAATAAATGACAAATTTAGATTATTCCAAATAATAAATGATGACGATGTAGGATTCCATAATCGTAGGATTCTCCTCCTCATCACAGATAATCTTGACCTAACCAATCTACTATTAAAATGTACAAAATTATCAAAACATTCTGACATTACACAAATCTATTTATTTCATATTTAACAAACAATTCATTTTGATGAAACCAATTAATAAATGGTTATTCTTCACTGAAGAAATCCCTACCAACACCACACTTTTTCAGATTAAACTTTTGTCCAGATTATCGCCACATTTTTTCATAATTAAATACCAATTTATAAATATATTCATATTAATGAGAAGTGAAGAGGGATCCGGACACTGTAACTTTGATCAATTAGAAACCAGTTTCATCTATTATTACTTGTTTTCATCAAGTTGGAATGACATAATAATATAATAAATTATCAAGCAAAATAATATAATTGAAGATTAATTTGTATTTATTTTTTATTTTAGATTTATTGAAGCTGAAGAAATAAGTGAACCAAAACTTATTTTAGTTGTGGGCGCTATAGGGCTTGTTGTAAATATATTGGGGATGTGTTTATTCCATGGTAACGTTTAGAAATTATCTATCTATCTATAATCTTTTTTTACATATAAAATGTCTAATGTTTAAAAAAAAATTTAGCACTTGAGTTTTTATTTTTTTGAAATAAAGAAATATAGTGCTCCCATGATAAACTAGACTATTAATTAAATACAATTATGGTGGTTACCAATTAACAACGGTTTTTCAATAATACGCTATGTCTAGTAAAATAATAATATTAGTTCTATTTAGTAATTAATACTACTTAGTTAGTTTATTGCCATTAACTATTTAGTACTAAAATTAATGACAAAATTTCAGAGCATGGTGGACATAGTAATAATAGCAAAAAGGTAACTTTTTCTAGTGCTGTAAGTAATTTAGAAGACGATGAAGCACAGAATTCTTTTATTAAATCAGAAAATATAATGATGACAACAAACGACAGTAATAATCTACGTAGCTCTTCAAATCTCAACATGAGAGGCATATTTTTGCATGTTATGGCCGATGCGCTAGGATCAGTTGTAGTTGTCATATCAGCCTTAGTAAGTATCTCCCAAATACAATTGATAATATGATCATTTATGTTAACTTGCCTAATTGAGTTAGGTTGTTTGGCTAACAGAGTGGGAATACAAGTTTTACTTAGATCCAGCATTGAGCTTAATGCTAGTTTTTATTATTGCACACTCCCTATGGCCTTTATTAAGAGATTCTTCTTTGATTTTACTTCAAACTGTACCGACAAATATGAAGTTAGAAGTGATACAAGAAAATCTGGCAAAAGTCGACGGCGTTCTATCAATACACGAGTTCCATCTGTGGCAACTGACAGATGAGAGAATTATAGCATCAGTACATATCAGGTTAGTATTAATTTTTGAATCTATAAATACTTCAATAGAAACAGTTGAACAAGATGAAACAATACAACACAACAACATCCTGGAGTGAATAGTGAAAAGTATGAACATACCACTCTATATCAAACAATAACTTACAAACATTAAGTTTGACTCAAATAATTAAGGTTTTTAGTTGAGATAAACAATTCAATGGCACGAGCGGGATTCGAACCCATGATCTTCGGCTTGATATGCCTCTGCTCTACCAATTGAGCTATCGTGATCTCGATCCACTCGGACACCAACTTCCCAACCGCACCTTTTGAATTTTCCCTCCTTTTTGCCATTTTTCGAATCTCGCTCGTGCCATTGACTTTTTTATCTCAACTAAAAACCTTAATTAATTGTAATATATTAATTGGTCAAGCGGACCACAAAATTAGTGAACTTGACTCAAATGGCGTACTAGGTACCCCCTTGGACTGCCATCTCCCAATGAACTATGAAAACTAAGAGCTGAACAATTAGATACATACGGTCATTGGACAGCCAGACGCACCCTATCCTATCATAATACTCCTCTTCCACTTTGCAATGACCAAGAAAAAGCTTCATTCTTTGCTCAATACTTTTCCAAAATATACCACCCTTATCCACACATAATAGGTCCTGGTCATACAGAAACCATATATATATATATATATATATATACCAGGACCTATTATGTGTGGATAAGGGTGGTATATTTTGGAAAAGTATTGAGCAAAGAATGAAGCTTTTTCTTGGTCATTGCAAAGTGGAAGAGGAGTNGTATCCAAATAAGGGTTACCTTGTTCTCAAACCTGAAAGAGATCCTATTGATAAGATCTATAGTTTCCTCCACCAGTCGTGAGGTTGACAAATCTTTTTGTAATGCCCTAAGACTAGCCTGACTGTCAGAAAAGATTTTAATATCTTTTCCCATAATTTTATTTTCCATCAGTGATCTACAACAAACATTGGTGGCCCAGATTCCCGCCTGAAAAACGGAGGTGTTATTGCCAAGAGGGGAGGAGATGCTGATTCTTAATTTTGGTATGTAAATTCCTGCACCACTCCCTCTACCTTTGATAAGTGATCCATCTGTGTAGCAGTCTATGTTACGATGGTCATCATCAAGACTATAATCAAATCACAAGGGGTGACTACCTGAAAGTGCTTTTTCCCTGAAGGGGTTTTAATCTTTTTATCACTAACGCTTAACAATTGACCGTTAACCTTACTCGATAGTTGAGAGATTTTCGAGTGACCTATGTTATTGCACTTATGATTCCAGCTGCCCTCGCTAATTAATCTGTAGCAGCTGATTAGTGCTATGACCTTAACCTCAATGTGAAGTGGTGTGGTATTGGTTATGATTTCAAGTGCTAGGGTGGGTGTAGTTGAAAATGTTCCTGTCATCATCAAATAACCATACAGAAACCATAGAAAAAGAACTTGTCCAACCACTAATTATTTTCCCTTCCCCAAAAATCTTTTAATACTTTACAGGTCCAGTATATCATCAAAACACTTTCACAAAGGTCCCTTGATATGAGCATATATCCTTTGGCCTTGCCTAAAAAAGCACTCCTTTTCCTAACATACCTTTATAAAGCTGTCCTAAGACTTTCCCAAAGATCCTAATCCTGTTACATATATAAGGGGGGAAAAACTTGAGAAGCTTTTGAAAATAATATTTCCTGTCCTAGAAGAACAAAACATTAGCCCTAACACACCAGTGTGGCTTATTTAAGCACCACTTCACAATCCAGCACGTCACCGACTTCCTGTTATAAGATGAAACAGTACTGCTCAGGTGGTTTCCCTGATGTGGAACAAGTCTTAGAAATTGATATCTAGGTTTACTGTGGAAGCTCAAGAGACTTCCCTTTATCTACTTTCTTAACCTTCAACCATCCCTGACTAGTCGCTTCTTTCAGACTATCCTGTTATGGTAGAGTCCTCCAGGGTAGTATCCTAGGTCCCACCTGTATTCACAGTACAACTGACCTCCCTATCTTACACATCCATTCTTTTCTGATACTAACCTATTCTTCAATAAAGATCCTGACCTCTCACATTGCTCTTTACAAATTCATCAACATAGAACCTTGGCTGAATAAGTGGTGTATAAAAATAAATGTTGGCAAAAGCAGACTCATCTTCGTGTTCCCGTGTGGAATAACCCCTCAACTATAATTATATCAAATATTTCTTTAGTTAACCAACTGCCTTGGGTTGTATGTCAAGTAGACTAATATGAGTGGCTTGTAGACAGATGAACAAAACTTGGACATATGGCATCGAATTGTGGAGTTCAACCAAACATTTCAACTATTATCGAATCCAGATTTCCACAATGACCTTAACATTACTTTTGTGAAAGATATAAAATCCTGGTGCACAAAATTCCACAAATACATTTCAAAACACTCCAATCCATTAAATCCACTACTACTACTATCTTCAATAATCCACCAGACCAGGTTAAAGCAGCTGTGGCTTTGCAACCTGTTGGTTAGTGAGACGTAGTCACTGCTAGAAGGGTCATCACTGGGCGATTCTTCGCACCCTAATACCAAATCAACTATTTTACTTGTAGTATAAAATATATAAAAAATAAATACTGTTGTAAAAAAAACCTACTCTGGCATTAGGACATCCCAGTATAATGTTTGTCTTCATTTTATTCTCAATATTTTTCTTTAAGTGCTTTAGTCAACCTAATTGAAAATCATTAAACCATTTTATGGAGATATGATCAATTCTGTTAACAAGACATTTTTTACAAATATATGGATGATGTACAGGGACACTAAAAAAGAATTTGATTGTTTAAAATAAATATTTTTTAGATGTCGGGACATCAGTGAATTTATGACGACGGCGCAAAATGTTACAACATTTTTTCATAACGAGGGCGTCCATTCAGTGACAATTCAGCCGGAATTCAATGATGTAAGATTTTTTATATTTATTTTACTATTAAATTTAATATAGAAAATAAAATGTGTCAAAATGACTATTGACGGCAGTTGTACGATACATTATGATAAATAAAAACTTGGCTTTCTTTTATCACACATGGTTTTTAAAATAAATTAGGCCAATTTAATATACCTCAATAATTTGGTCATTACTGATCATTTTGGTTTTTGTCTCACCTTACAAACCAACCCAGCAATGTAAGGATCAAATTACAGGTTCATCACAACGCTATCACCATAGGAGGATACTTTAATATGACCTGAGCTGAATTTTTGTGTTCAAGGGTGTTTTGGAGAATATGTGGGGGTTTCAAAATCATATGGCTTGTACTTGACCAACAGTGTGTTCACAAAATTTCCAAATTACATTTATAAGTGGGATAATCAGGCTAAAGAAAAACATGCCCTCAAAGAAAAGAACTCATTCCTGGGTAAAAAAATGCCATTCAAGAATTAGTGGATCCCTATAGGATTTTGCTTCCTAAATAAAACAATTTGTCAAGGTCTTGTCAAGGTAGTAGGACAATGTTTTCAATACCTCATGGATAAATTCCCTACAATCACAAATGAGAAAACTATAGCAGGAATCAATAGAACCACAGATTCGCAAACCGAAGAACAAGCCAGTTTGGGACAACAATAAAATACATCAGTAAGCACGTGTGAATGAACTTAAGTCAGTAATAAGAGGCATTTGTCGGTAAGAATGAAAATTCCAACTGCAATTGTGAAAAATATGCTCAACATTTAGAATCACATGGATGCAACTTGAATATAAAAGTGCAGACTATTTTTCAAAAAATCGTCAGGGATTACGGTTAAGAACATGTGGAAAGGTTTCATCAGGACATCAAAACAATAGAGCAAAGGTACTAAGGAAGATGAACTAGTAGATTACTGCTGAAATGACTGGGAGAAAAAGCCTAGAAGAAAACTGCTCATTCCTGGGTCAAAAAACAAGAAAATACAAGAACCCTTAGTTGATCCCTGTAAGATTTTGCTTCCTGAAGAAAACAATTTGTAAAAAAAATCTTCGGGGATTTTAGTTAAGAATATGGTGAAACGTTCCTGCATTAAAGGTGCCAAGTACCAAGGAAGATAGAACAGCTGGCAGACTATAGCTTAAATCTTAAGGTGGATTGACAAATAATGACTGGGAGGAAATCAGCAAAAAGGAAGTTGGACGCAGAGTAAATTTTTTCCCTTAGTTGCTAATTGAGTGAGACGTCCGAAACGTTGTCAATAAATGTTTTGAACGAAGCATTTGGACTTTTCTTCTGGAGCCACTCCCCTCAACATAAGTTTAAAATTAGCAATTGTTTATCCAACAGCCGACTAAAACAAGGACATTCTCTCTTAGTTTTTATTTTTTTAAACTGCAGACCTGTCAAATGACCTATTTTTTTTACATTATTGTTAGCCATGTACACCTCATGTGAAAAACCTGTACATGATAGAGGAAAATGGATAATGTTTTCTTGAATCTTTGATATATATAATCTAACCCTAACACTGACACTATTAATCCTACCTCACTTGTCTCGTCCATAACCCTATGGCTAAATAACTGTCTATAACCCTATAAATTTTCAATAAACAATGATAATTAATTCCTCTTTTTTTGCCTTTTTTATAGCTCACGAAGGCTATGACTCATGAAACTTCAGTAAATGAATGCTTACTGCGATGTCCTAATACTGGTGTATCTTGTACACAAGCAACATGCTGCGGTCCAGTTACAAGTGAAACAAACGGAGAAGTCAAATCGTTGACTGTTGTTAGATAAAAACTGAAATTTACAATTCAAACTACATAATAAAAACAAATAAATTGATCTTATTCGATGAAAGTGTTTGAAATATTTTAATTGTATATAAAATTTTGTAATATTTATTTCTTTTTCTTATTATTTATTTGCATTAATTTTTGCCTTTTAAATTTATCACTTTGATATGTGTTGTTGTTGAACATTTATTAATAAAATTCCTAAGTGTAAAAAAAAACTTTTGTAAAATAAAATGGTTGATAATTTTTTTGTAACTGTTTAAATGTGATTTTTTTAAGTTGGAAAAATTGTTATTTTAATATTATTTTAAAATTTAATGCAATATAATTTTGGATTAATCAATGTGCCAAAATAAAAGTGACAATATTTAATTGTTTTTGCCTCTTATAGCTAAATATAAGCTTTTACTAATAATTTATTATGATAATCCCAAAATATCTTTCCCTCATTGCATATTCGTTTTATGTAAATTGTACACAATTTATTTCCTTTGTTTTTTAAATGTGTAACTTGCATTTTAATTGAATGGCCTTTCGAAATCATTGAAGTTAACTTTAAGATTAATTACACTTGAGAAAAGTTGTACAGAACATGCTATTACAAAATTGTGATGAAAACATTGACTTGATTACTCTCAACTCACCTCGTTCTAATAACACTTACCAATATATTGAGAAGTTGATTTTCTGCTTCTAAAAGAGCAATTCTGTTATTCTGTAGGTTGCTTTTGTCTTCGCTTTCTTTCGACAATAAAGGCTGATTTTCCATGACGAATCCAACAAGGTCAACCAAATCTTTATTGATAGCGTCAACTTGTTTAAGAAGTCTTAAAGTTTGAGCAGAAAGGCGGGAGCAACTGAAAACAAGTGATGCCTTGTTACAACGGTTCAATATTTTTAGAATTCAGACAAGAAAATTATGACATTTTAATTAAATTTTTGCACAAAAAAGGGTTGGAGGCAATATTTTGCAAGTTTGCAATGGAATCGCTACAAACAGAAAATCATAATCTGTCAGAGAAATTTTAACAATAGAAAATAATGTAAGAAGAAATGTCTGGACAATCCAAGAATCTTCTTGCATGAACTTTCAGAATTTATAAAAATATGGAGAGGAAGAATTTGAATTTGTAGAAGAGGTGCGTCAGACTTGATGAAAATGTATTAAGAAAATATCCAATACTTATGGAAATAAATTTTTTCAAAGAAAACTTCCAACCCAGTTTTATAAAAGGGCGGGAGATAATATTTTGTGTCTTTGCAATAGAATCAGAATCTGCCAGAGAAATTTTAATAATAGAAAATAACGTAAGAAACACCAAGAAATTAATGTCTGGACAATCCAAGAATCTTCTTGCAAGAAATTTCAGAATTTATAAGAAAAGGGAAGAGGAAGAAACCTAGACACATTTACTATAAGTCAATAAAAGCGTTTTGGAACCTAAACAAAAAATTGCAATAGAGTAAGTAATAAATCCATGGATTAGGATTGAACAATGTTATGTAAGTACAGAATTTGAAAGAAATAATTCACAAAGGTTCAGTACAGGTTAGGTTAGGAGTTGGCCTCTTTATGACATTACATAACACTACCGATATTGGTCTATTGAGCTCCACCTAGAGCTCTTCTTAAGGCTTTACACCACATCGAAAAGTTTTAAAGGCTCTCGTGTGTATCTGCCTTGGCTTTTCCTCTCCCTCAACAAAGTTCTGAGGCAGCATAGGCCCACAACATAGGATGTGTTTTGCTATTTCTTCTTTCCTAGCAATATCAGCACAGGCCTTTGTGTGTAGTCACCCTAACATGTAACCTGTTGATGCCCAGTCTCCTAAATTCAGATTTGAGAAAAACTTTCAAATTAAAATGCCTGGTAGAGCAGGCTGGGAGAAAGGAATCTCAGTTAATGTCGATCACATCTCGTAGATGGCTTCAAAACTGAGTAAGGGTCAGGAGCTGATATTTATGGAAATAAACCAAGGACTAGAATTCATATAAGCCTTGGGAAATATGTCACTATCTTTCTAGCAGGTGGCTATTGACCACTGTGCCAAGGAGATTAAAAGACAAGGTATTGTGTGGTGTTTAGTGACCGTTAATTAACGATTATTTGGAGATGATTTCAATAAAGATCAAAACGTTGGCACAATAAAGAAAATGTTTTTCTAAAACCTATGTCTCACCAGACTGCATCTCATGATCTTCAAATAAAGACTGGGTATTGTTAACAGAAGAATAGCAATCTACTCAGCAGTCAGGCAACACTGAGGGCAATTACTGCATCGGTAGGAAAGTCCAGAGTCTTTTGGATTGCATTAAGGCTCTCTCAGATATTGTGGAAAATAAGAAAATTACCTTTGCCTATTTACCAGAAAAGACAGGGAAAATGGGCAATGAAGAGGCAAGGGAAATTCAATAAGGACACCTGTCCCTGAAACCTTTTGCAGTGTGCCAAACGACCAAAAACATGGATCCATCAGACAACGGATTAAAAATAAGTCCTATGTTCAAGGACCATCGCATAAATTAACAGCAGAACTTCTAAATATAGGGCTTCTTAGAACTAGAATAATAGTGGGACTGCTAACTGGACACTGCAGACTCTGTAAGCATATAGACTCGGAGTGGCAGATATTCCCGGAAGAAGAGACAATGGAACTTGTTCTCTGTTAGTACGAAGGCTTAGGTAGGCTGAGATTCTACTCCTTGGAGAGGAAAAGCCCCAAACTAAAGGTAAACACAGGAATTCTTTGAAAAAGCTTTGGGGTATGGTAAACTGTGTTAAGTTGCAGATAACAATGGAGATGCACAATAGACAAATACTGATTAGGAGTGCAGGTCCTAAAGAGGCCAACTGCTATTCTAATCTAAGCTAGGCTAGGTTAGGATTCAGATTCTTTATAACCTGGTGCACCTCGACCAATATTAATCTATTGTGCTTCATCTCGAGCTCTTTGAGCTCAATGCATTCAGAGTGGCCTGGTTTTTCAATTTTACTCCTCCCAGAAGGCAAAAATTTCCTATTTCTACTCCATCTGGTGGGTTGGGCCTTTATCCAAGTCAAAAGCACTGAATGTGTTAAGCTTTTTACCAGAACCCAAAGTTTTAAGAGTTCTCATGTGTGTCTGTCAAACCTTGGGTTTTTCTCTTCTAGTAGGAATCTAAGCCTATATAGACCTTCACAGGTTTTCAAGTCTGTAGTATGCCTGTGGAGTCTGCAGTGTCCAATCCGCCCTTCTGTCCTGGAATACAGTCCCATTGAATTGAGTGCTTATTCTTGATCCATTGTCTGATGAATCTGCTTTTTTTCCAAGTTGGTAAGCTGCAAAAAGGTTCAGGGATGATAGGTGTCCTTAATGAATTTTCTCTAGTCAATTTATCACCCCCCCCCATCTGCCCAGGTATCCAACCAAGAATAACTAAACCCCCTTTGAATCCTCCAACTTCATTACTAGATACATATGTTTTTAACTTTAAGAATTTTAAAAAATCCAATAATTAGGTTTTTTATTTTGTAATAGTTTGAACTTTTATACTTACTGGTGCTTAACATGAGGAATTTTATCATTGGTATTGGCTTTAATAAGCACATAAGCAGTCTGCAGTTCTTTTCTCAATCTTACATTTTCTTTCTGAAGATGCTCTATAGATCCATACATGACTTGTATATTCGGATATCCTTGATAATCCAAGGGTATCGGATAGTGTGTTCTGAAATAAGTTCTTACTCATGAGAAGACTTAATTAAAAACACTATTTCTAGGAAAGTATTATTAAATACTAATTCATTTCTCACTGAGAGAGGTTTTTAAGTAAAAAATTTAAACATTAAATCGTGAAACATTTTGGTGAGGGCTGATCATCCCAGATTTTCCCAGCCTGTCATTACTTGCTGGTTTTGCCTGTCAAATGGATTTCACCATCTTGATTAGAAAAAAAAAAAGAAAAAAAAGAAAAAAAACTACTGGAGATTTTTGACCAACAAAATCAGAATAATCAGTCCAGGAGACCAAACACGATCAAGGTATGAAAATCAAAGTCTCGGTTTTCATGTTTATTCCGAAAACTCAAAACTATTTTAATCTAAAATAACGACTTATTATCAATCAAATTTCAATTTGTCTTGCATTTGCATATTAATTTTTTTAAAATATTAAAGAGTAGTTTACTTATCAAATTCTCCTGAGTAAATTATTATTATGTATATCCTTTGCGTTAAATTGTCCTCTTCTTTGCTCGCCTTTCCTCCTGTGTTACTTTGCAATCCCAGGTTATTACCTACGGCGCCAGTAGGCCCTGATTTGATGTGGGCATATTTGGGACCTTTTATGTTGATTGATCTGTTAGAACCCATGGCTTCCAAATCCTTCTGGTATACAAGTTCCAAATCCATTGATGTGCTCGTCTGAAATATATTGTGCTCTTTTAGAATAAATTTAAGATAAATCAAAATACAAGATTTCAAGGCGGTCACTATTATACATTGAATTTTATATTATAAGATAATTAATCCATCTAAATACATTATTCACTGGAAGGGTTTGGGATGAAAGGTGTTGAATTAGTAGATTGGGATGAGAGTTCAGGGTTTTATTGAGTTGTCTTATCAACTTCTTGCGGCTTTGAGGGCGAATGGGATCTGAAGGTCCATGTGAATAAGGTTAGATACGAAGTAGTGAGCTTGGATACTGGTTTAAAGGATTTTAGCCTGGAGTGACTGGATTCTTTAGAAGCTTGAAGTGAGTCTTTTGTCAAGTCCCATATAGCGGATGATATTGGTTGCTGGGAGTTATAGTAAATTAAAGGAGAGATGATACAGCTGAAGGTGAAGGTTAATTGTTGGGATTTTCATCAAGTTTGATCTTCCACTTCTTAGACCATTCTTCCAAATAAAGAACAATGTTCCTGGAGGTGTTTGAAGACCACTACAGGGCTTGGGTTTGCCGAAACGAGGGCCATATCTACTGTATATTTGAAAATGTAGAATGGGACCTAGGATGTTGCCTTGAAGAATGAGGGATATGGATCTTCCAATACCAATTGAACAGGAATTTAGAATGTAGTAATAAGTGAATATGGAGGATGGTCTTTAGTTTGCAGTAGTGCCACACTTGATTAAAGGCCTGGTGGGAAAGGTTCGGGATGAAAGGTGTTGAACTAGTGAATTTGAATGATAGTCTAGGCTTTTAACTTCTAACAGTTTTGAGGACAAATGGAATCTGAAGGTATGGGGGTAACGAGGATGTATAAGAAATAGAAAGCTTGTTCGATGAATTTTGGCCTGGAGTGATTGAATTCTTTAGGAGTTGGGACATTTGGTCGAACCGCACAGTTGGGTGGTTCCAAGTATTTGGTCAATGTAAAGTCTTATATATCAGATGGGAGAAGAAAAGATTTGTACAAAATTGAAGGAGAGGTGATACAGCCGATGGAGAATGTTTTTTATGGATTGATAGGAATGTCTGCAGTGTATACTGAATATAGAATGTGACCAAAGATGTTGCCTTGCAAAACACCCGTTTCTGCCTAGTAGATGGGAGAGAAAGATGTAAATCAGGTAGGATTTTTTGATGAGAAATAGGATGGAATGTCGCTGGAGCTTTCGAGGATGAAAGGAGTTGGAAAGAATCAGGGTATTATGAAAGTGACTCTACAGCAGTTTCGAGGACAAATTAGATCTGAAAGTCTGTTCGGGTAAGAAGTAGAGAGCTTTGGCGATGAGTTGAGGGATTTGGGCTGGAATGAATAAATTCTTTGGATATATAAACGTCTGGTCTCGATGTTGACGAGTGTGACCCTCCATTTCTTGGGTTATTCTTCAAAACAAGAAAGGTCCTGGAGGTTTCTGATAGCCACTGGGTCTGGGTTTGCTGAAAGGATGGCAATATTTGCTGCATATGCGAGGAGTATTGTATCATGATTGAGAGGAATGTTTGAAGTATATAATGAATTAAGAATAGGACTAAAGATGCTGCGTTGCAGAACACCCACTTCAGTAGAATGAGGGGCAAGGATGTTCTGATACTTGAAAGTACCTATCAGACAGTTTGGATTTAAGGATGAGGTAATAAATGAATGGAAGGAAGCGCTTGAGTTTTTCAGAGTAATCCCGAATGCTGGATTCTATCGAGGGGTTCCCATGCATTTAGGAAAACGCCTGAGCATCTTTTCCTTCAGGAAAGACAGGATGATATCTACCACCCTGTGGTATAGCTGTAGTAGATTGTCATAAAGGTAATATGACGAAAGGTTAAGGTGCTGGGGGGGTTTCGTTCATTCTGATCCTCCAATTCTTGAACTGTTCTTCTAAGAAGGCGAGATGGTCCTGAAAGTTTCTGAACGCTAGTGGGGGAAAGGATGTATCATCTACATATTTGAGAAATACTGTATCAAGATTGATAGGAATTCAGTGCATACTAAATACAGTATCGGACCAAAGATGCTTCTTTGCAGAATACCTTTTGGCATAGTAGATAGGAGAGAAGGATGTTTAAATTTGTACTTAAAAGTATAAGACAGATAGGATTTTAGGATGTGGTAATAAGTGAACGGAAGGATTTGGAATCTCCAGAGGAAGCCTGGATGCCAGACGTCTAGAAAAACACTCATGCATCAATCAACAATGCAATGAACCTATGGCACTGTTGTATGGGATGTCACCTAAACCCAAATGGGGTGGACACTGGGTTTCAAGGACTTTGCCAAATAACGTGGCGATATGACCTACGATAATGCCGAGGTTTTTATCTTTTTCTTTTTTTTTGCAAATTTATTGTTGAGTTAAAAATACTATTATCTGTGAGAAAGTGTTAAATGAGAGAAATCACTTACCCCTTTGAACAAAGCCTTCAACATTTCAGAAAAAGTATGAAAGTTTTTATAATTCCCAGTCCTTTTTGTCATGTTTTCGATGTCTGAAATGAAAAAATGTCAGTATAATCTTTAATGTACAAATTTGAAACGGAATTATCTTACATGATGGAACCAGGGAAGACACCCATTTTTCCTTGGACGATTTGTCCTCCAAATGCAGTTCGACTGATTGCGATGTTAAGAACAAAGCTAAAGTAAAATGGCGTTCTTTAAGAGAACAATTGAGTTTGAGGGGTTCGCTCATAATTTAGAAATAGGAGAATACTTGAAATGTGAAACAATTTTGGCCAAACGACGAGGGCAACTAGACCGGGCAATTCCGGGTAATTTGGGAGGAAGTGTGACCGTTGGAAGAATGAGAAAAGGATTTGCCCCACTTAAACTCGCAAGTACTTGATCTTCAACTTCTGATTGTGACAGCATTCTATCATAAAATTTATAATTTTTCAAACGTATTTTATTAAATTAGTTTCGTTTTTTTATTGTTCTCCCGTCCTATCAAAAATTATCAAATAGTTCTTGGTTTTAATAGAAAAATAACACAAAACTCTCGATTACCAACAAAAATAAAGAAAGCAATGCCGCACGCCTAACTAGATCTCCGTTTTTTTTCTATTTTTCTTATAAATGTATATTCTCTAAATCTTGATTTTTGTTTATAAAATATTACATATAGAGTAGAGTAGTATATATATAGATAAAATAATATATGTATAGAGTTTTTAATTTAAAAAAAATAAAATCAATTTATCGTTTGTTACCGGAGTTCTGATCCGGACCACAGGGCCTGGATCTCATTTCAATGGAGCCTCGTATTTCAGGTTTAATGATTGCTCTAAATAAAACTTAATCGCTTTTTGTATTATCAAATAAATATTTTATAAAATAGAACAGTATTTTATTTTATGCAAATATTCTGTGGTCAACAGCTCAAAATGAAACAATAACAAATCATACCAGCTGTTATATTTATTAAATAATAAACACCAAAAAATAGGTTCTACCGTTTTCAAAAACGAATTATTTAATGTTTGAAAAAATGTTCCATACCTAATTTTTTAATTGAAAGGTATTTTGAAATTAAATCTGCCTGAAATAGTTCCTCTATAAAAGTTATACTTTTTACTTTGTTCATTGATTGTTCATTTGCGTTCAAAACAAATTGGTTGAAACCGTTTTACTTTTTTGTATAACACACGTGTATAAATGTACCTTGAATAGTTTTTCACCAGGGTTCCTGTTTTTTTTTAACAAACGTTTTTATTTTTCACCTTCCACAACTACCTCAATGGGATGGAAAACTTCCCACCTGAAGGTAAGAGAAGTTTTATGAAAATTTTCTTTTTATGTGTAATTTTAAAGGGCAATAAAACTTGGCACGTTTAAGGGAAATCGCTCCTAAATCAGGATTGGGTAAAGAATATCTAAATTTTTTTCTGGAGTTACTGGTACCTAATCTTCCATTCTTCTATTGTGGAATTGGGCCTTTTTTATTTCCACACTACGGAAAGTGAACAAACTTTAAGTTAGCCAACCACTTTCCATGGTTCCTCTTCGCTTATTTTGCATGGCTTTAGTGTTGCCTTTCTGAAGAGGCACTTATGATCCAGGCTAATGCTTTGCCTACATAGGACGTTTTCCAAGTCTCTGCTGTTCATGCACCTTTTCCTGGGGTCACTGGTACCTAATCTTCCATTCTTCTATTGGGGAATTGGGCCTTTTTTATTTCCACACTACGGAAAGTGAACAAACTTTAAGTTAGCCAACCACTTTTCATGGTTCGTTCCTCTTCGCTTATTTTGCATGGCTTTAGTGTTGCCTTTCTGAAGAGGCTGTAACAGTCCAGGTTAATGCTTTGCCTACATAGGACGTTTTCCGTTGTCACTACTGTTTCATGACATATTCATCTGGTTTCAGTTTTCCTAATTATTTTTCTTAATTCCTACCTGCTGAGAGAAAATTAGACCTTTGTTTTACCGGATAAGATGGAATTAAACTTTATTTTCACACTAGAAATTGTACCATGTTCAAAGTATTCAAGCATTTTTTTTTTTTAGTCGCTTAGTTCCTCATGTGCTATTATCAAGGAGGATCTAACGTTTCTAGGCTAAATTTTATTTACATAGGACATGTTCCAATGTCTCAGCTGTTGCACAATGAAGATGGCAAGTTTCTGTCTCAGTTTTTCCAGTATTTTATAGGTTGCAATTAAATTGAACAGTGCCCAGTATAATAATTTTGTATTAATTTTATCCAAAAGAGGACGTCAAAATTTCTTTTAATTTCATTTCCTCAGACATTTTTGCAGCCATTTCATTTGTTTTGATCCTTTTTAAGATTTTATGGTCGTTTTCTCTTAGATCAGGCTTTATTTTATTTTGTCCTAAAAGTCTGTTTGCATTTTTGTATGCCATCATCTGGATCTATCCCACAGAGACAATCCCAGTCCCACATTGAACAAGAAGAAGAAGAAGAAGAAAGAAAAAAGCAGAATTGCAGCAATGACAGTCAATCGAGTCAATTCAGTAAAGAAAATGACAATCAACCGGCCAATCTTCACTTAGGTGAGAAAGAAACTTGATGAAATTTGGGTATTAAAAAAAATTGTTTTTCACACTCATTTTATTCATTTACATAACTTATATAAATACACATGTTAAATCATGGACGCGTGTAACAAATGATAAACATTATATTACAATATATACAAGCTCAGTCTTTATACATTTCATATTTTCTTTATATAAATAATAATAATAATTATAAGTAAATAATAATAAAATGTTGCAGAGTTCACATTTTATTTAAATAATAGTAAACAATTTTCATTATTGTTTGAATTTAGGCTAAATATTGCGTCAAAAAATTGCATAGGTTAGAAAACAAAAAATTTGATATTTAGTTAAAATAACAATTTAAAAAGCGATACAGGAAAAAATACAAGAGTATAAAATATTGCCACATGTCTTAATACACTATTTTAGTAGTGAGATATGTTTTATAATTAATTAACAAAAATCAGTTTTGGAATGTTAGATATGATTATATAAAATTAATCGTAGGTGGGCAGTATGATTAATATGTTCTGCGTTACAATTTAATGTTAACAGTTTGCATAGTGTTTGTACAAAATCTTCTTTTGATATGCTCTTTGTACAACGGATGGCAGTTTGATAAAGTTTGGTCCTGTTGCACGATCGAGAGGAATCGACAATATTCGCCCGATTTTTTGCAAACCCTTTACTTTTATTCAATCATTACTTCAACCCTTTGCAAATTGTGTAACGCACCTGTAACAAGTGCAAACCGGGAAATTAAACTGTAATTAACATTGCCAATTTTCTTTGTATGCCGCATGTGATATAACTTTTTTTTCCATTTGTCACTTAATGTAAAACAATAAATTGTCGAGACACTACTAAATATGATAAAGATTAAAAATTAATTGGATTTATATTTTGGGAATGTTTTCACATTTTGTAAAAGGTCAAAACTGAATAAAATCATTAGGTTAAGAAAAACAGTAATAAATGTAATAAAAAAAATTACTGTCTATAAAGTACTGCCACAATATTAGTGTAGAGTAGCATGAGCTTAGATTAAAAAAAAAAAAAAAAAAAAAAATCACTGAAAACCCTGAAGACTAATGACTAGTTTCTAAATATGTATTTTATGCCATTGCCTTATAATAAAAGAGATACGCTGTATTTCAATGCAACATAATTTTAGTCACTTATCATTAACATAAGCACCAAAAATGTTAAGTCACTTTCAAGCAAGCACATCGACATTGAACAGTAAAAAAAAATTATTCGTAGCGAATATAACGTACGTGAATAATTTATTAAGATCCAATGTTGATCTACATTTAATTTAAACACTTAATGTACATTTTTTAAGCTAAAAAATCTATAAGCAACGAGCGAACTTTTTTTCTCGGGGGAAGAGAATGAATCCCTTTTGCAAATTCAACTCGTAATTTTTATTTCAACACGTTTATTTGCGTTTTGCTTACCACTTCATTACACCAATTTGTACTTATTTCTTAAATATGTTGACTGTGACTGTCGTTCACATTGAGAAGTTTTTTTTTAATTTTATCTAAATGAAATGTTGAGTTGTACTACCTAATCTCTACATTTTGTAAATTGATTAGGAAGTTGTTAGCAGGTAAATATGTACTAGTTTTATAGTTTAGCTAGGGATGTAAGCTGTTTTTTTAATAATTATTAATTAAATTATGCACACTATTATGCAAGATACATCTGCAGATTTTATTTAAGCACATATAAAAATTTGCCGGTGTTCGTTCTTCAACATTTTACATTTTTTTAAATCTTAGAACTATTTACCAACAATTAGCTCTGATAATTAATTAATTTTTACATAATTAAGGGTTTTGATTATAAAAAAAACTGATATTTTTGATATTAGGATTGTGTATAGTAAATGGCATAAATAAAGCATTATTGATGAGATAGAGTTTTATTATTTAGCTATTATGTCATTATAAATATAACATTATTTAAAAAAATGTTCGTATTTAACTTTAAGGTTTGACTAGATTCTTGTTATCTTAATTTTTTTCTGAAGAAATTTTCCCAGTAAGAAAAGACTTACGATCTGTTGTTTGTTTTGTTTTGGTCTTGAAATAGTCTGCGTTTACCCAATTATGTTCAAATTTTATAAAATTACAAATATTAAGAAATATAAATTTTATATATGAAGCTAATGACTTTTGTGTATGTACTTTTTTTTATTGTCATTTTTTATTGTACCCAATACTTAGTACTCACTCCACATTCTTATTGTTTATTTTCCAAAATTGTATAAAAAGCTACTGTATTTATACATATAAAAATACATAAAATAAAAAAAATTGCTTAAACGATGGTAAAAACGTTTAAAATATTTGACTTTGTTCAGCTTTTTTTTTATGGACGGCCTAGGGGCTTACCTTGTTCAATTTGAATTCTTGATTATTTTAGTTGTAAAAAAATCTAGATAAATACATTTAATGTAAAAACAAAAGCCAAAGCTACTTGTTACTTGAGTTCATTCTGATAAAAGCTTCTAATGCAGTTTTATATTTAAAAAGAAAAAGTATTTGTGAAAAACTTTTAAAAGTGAAGTATTGTCACACCTAGGTCCGTCATAATTGCTATTAACTATAACATACAATGCAGTAATCATTTCCAAATGTAAAATTGCATTTTTTTTATCCAAACGAATCTTTAAATTTTGTCAAAATCAAAGATACCAAACTCCGAGCGTATTCTTATGTAACAATCGTATATTTACAGTCTTTTTTCAATTCAAGTCTAAATAAATCACAATTCCAGATCTTGGTAAATGGCTAAAAAGATTGGCGCGTATTATTTCTACAAGTCTCGTTACAATGACAACGATCTATTAGCCTAAGCGTCTTAGTACACGATAATATTTAAAAAAAGTTTTGTCAGACAGGGATATTTTAAAAGTATGAAATACATTGTTAATGCTATTTACTTTGAGTTTAATTTTATTGTTATTCATTATTGTATATTACCTTGTCAAAGAGAAATAAAAGATATTTTAGTTTTGGATTCTAAAAGCTAAAATAAAACCTGCTATCAGAAATAAGCTTACAAAAACTACATACACCTTCAAAATGTTTTTTTTTTCTTCTGGTTTTATACAAATACTTTCTTATTATTTTAATCAGGTAATTTAATTTGTACCACACAGCGAGGAGAAATGGAAATTTTGATCATTAAGTGCAAAATGATGTGTTGTACAGTGCTAAACCAAATATGCGAACACCTATACAGACAGAAATGTGCATGTGTTAACACTATACGCATCAAACTTATAAAGTATGCTACTATACACAATTTTTAAAGCTATCCTAATCAATAGTCTTAAATGTCTTTATCCATTTTGATTATTAATACGCTTGATTATATTATCGAGTCACAAAATGTGATATGTTTATTATTTAATCACTGTGTAAGATATAAATGAATGTAATGAAAGCATATTGGAAGACAAAGAATTATAAAACTATCCAAATAGTTAACATTATTGAATCCTTTCTTGACTCTATCAAACTTGGCAGTGGCTAAATTCAATTAAAAGAAGTAACGATTAAAAATTTGATAAAATAATAAATAATTTCTTTAAATGTAATAACTTTTAGGAAGTTAATAGAATGTGTACTAAAACATTTATAAAAATATTCGAACACCTGATAAGATTTTCAACAAAAATATTTCACAACGAGAATTATGAATGATACGTATCTGAGTCGCCACTAGACGCCATAGAAAAATTTGCAGAATCCCTTTCAGAAATGTTGTTGATGTTGTGCTTCATCGGATTCAAGTGCGGGAAACTGTGATGGGGGTAACGCTGCACAATCGGCCTTTTGACGTACGGATTTGGCGTGAATAAACGCACTCCATTGTGATGTGTAGGAATCGTTGAATGCCTGGGGTAATTGCAGGTTAAATGAGGCATTGGTTGAACTGTAGGCGGCGGGAGAGGCATCGTCGAACAATGAGGATACGGTACACCGACTTGCTGCGTCGGAAAATGAGGAAGAGTCGCAGATTGGGAATCGGTGAACGATGTCATTTTCATATTTGTACTTCTACCGAATTGATCCTGAAAGTTGTTGGTCACTGTGATTATCTCAGGCTCCATACGGTGCCTTATCAACACCTGGTTCGTATCCGGCACAGGATTCGCTCTTTGCAGCGTTTGCTGCCACTGAGCCGTTCCAGCATAAACCTTCGCTGTTTTGTCAATATTGTTTATGTTATTAGGAGGTTGCGGTGCTCCTGAAAGTTCAAATTTGATTGTCATACACATTGATATTTAAAAGTGGATGTTATTGTCAAGAAAATTACCATTATGATGACTTTCCCTACTAGAATTTGAATGAACTCCACTCGATGTCTCTGAATGATCGGGGGGTGAACCTGATGTCTCAGATTCTGTTCTAGGTGTAAGATCATGTGGCATACCGGAATCTGCCCTTAGTAGGCATCTAGGTGTAGTCTAATAAACAAAAATGAGCATTAATCTAGAGTGAAGAAGCAACCAATTAATTACACTCATTTCACAACACTATTTACTTTTCTCAATAAGTAGGACATTATGAAGCCATTGGTGATTTTAAGTGTCTACGAGGATTGTCAGGAAGGATTCAAGATTAAAGGTATTTGGATTAGGATCCAGGGTATCAACTTCTTGTCGTTTTGAGAACAAATGTGATCTGAAGGTCTGTGTGGATATGAAGTAGGGAACATGGGCAATGGTTCAAATGATTTTTAACGGGAGTGATTGGATTCTTTGGAGGTTGATGAACTTGGTTGAACCCCACCATTTAATTCCATCTAAATTGGTTGTAGTGATGATATTTACAATAGATGAGGAGTTTATTCTGCTGTGAGACTTTTGATCTGCTGTCAAGTAGCCATTTGAATAGTTTTTATTTTTTGGTCGTATTTTGGTTCCGAGTAAGTCTTTTGTAGATGTTAAGTCTCAAATAGTAGATGTCACTGGTTGCTGGTATATGTCATTGGTTGATAGTAACAGAATTATAGTAGTTTGGAGAATAGGTGATGTGGCAAAGGGTTAAGGTTATTTCTTGGGATTTTCTTTATGCCTGATCCTCCATTTCTTGAACCATTTTTCCAAATGAGAGAGAAGATTTTTGATGTTTCTGAAGGCTATTGGATCTGGGTTTGCTGAAAGGATGGTGGTGAGGACATACAGGGTTAGTAGGAATGTCTGAATGTTTACTGAATAGAGAATGGGAACAAAGATACTGCCTTGTGGAACATCCCCTTTTCCATAATGGATGGAGAAGGATGATTTATACTTGCAAGTACCTTTCAGACATATAGGATTTTATGATGAGGATGATCCTCCATTTCTTGAACCATTATTCCAAACTGGAGAGAAGGTCCTGGAGGTTTCTGAAGACATCACGAGGATGCTGCCTTGCATCATAAGCGCAGAACACCTACTTCAGCAGGATGGGGAGGAAGGATATTCTGATATTTTAAAGTACCTATCGGACAAATGAGCCATAGGTTAATGTTAAGTTTTCACAAAATTTTCATTGCGTCTGATCCACCATTTTTTAAACCTTCTTCCAAATGGGAGAAAAGGTCCAGGAGGTTCTCTGAAGGCCACTAGGTCTGGGTTTGTTGAAAGGCTGGCAGTATCGTCTGCATATTTGAGGAGTGTTGTATCATGATTAATAAGAATATTTGAAGGGTATACTGAATAGAGAATGGGACCAAAGTTGCTCCCTTGTGTGACACCCGCTTTGCCATAGTGGTTGGAGGAGGAAGATTTATACTTGAAAGTACCTTTCAGACAGATAAAATTTTGGAATGAGATAAGATTAAAAGTTTACCCCTGAGTTTCCAGTGCAAGCCCGGGTGTCACAGTTGATCCAAGGCTTACTTCACGTCTAGGAAAGCATCCTGTATGGCAGAGTGAAGTCGCCAAATGTGAATTGGATAGAATAACACTAGAAGGTGCTTGAGGATGTTTTTTTAAAATTTGTTTTTAATAATTATTTTATTTATTTTTTTCAATGAATTTCACTAAATAATGTCAGTAAACTGATTTTTAGGATTCGGAATAGGTTTATTGGATTTGGAAAAATCAATGCTTTTTTTAATGTTTGCATATAAATAAAAAAGCCTTTTTCTTACCGGAGTGTCCGACACGTTCTGTGGTGGTGGTAGAGGTAAATCAGGTGGTTCTGGAGTTAGCAAAGGATTCGGATCCTCATAATCACCAGCAGCAGGTAAAGACATACATTTGTTTGTAGACACGTACTGTACCTAGAAATTGCAAAAAAATTACAAAATGTACTGTAAAAATTAATACAGTGCAACATTAATGTTACCTCATTTTGATTTGAGACTGAGTGATGGTATTCGGAGCGCATTTTGCTATTCTGCCCCATCATGGGAAGTTCTCGTAATCGAGCATAATCACCGTCATCACCTTCACCATGGGAAAACTCTCTTGCACACCTGAAAATTCAGTTAATTTTTTTAAAATACATTTAAAAGAAATAATAATATATATAAATAACCTAATTGAGGGTGATGGAGTACTCAATATTCCACCATTGACCCTCTCCCACTATTTATTCACGTTAATAAATACATCCACTCTCAATACACACTAGGGACAAAAAACAACCAGTATTTTGTTGTACAGTACAACAAACCCGTTTCCTCCAAAAACCGGAACAGGGAACCCAGACACTCAAGCATGATTCTCATATCGGATCGTATTCTACACACTCTATTTGGAGCCAAGTAATTGCACGCCTCAATTAGGTGGACATCATCGAGCGATCATTCTCTGCATGCTGGATCCATACTTGGCCCAAAAGTAAGTGTCCGTGTGTCAACCTCGCATGGCTTATTCTTAATAGGGTGAGGATAAATCCTCTTCTATGAGTCAGCTCCTCCGAGGACCACTTATCAACAGTGAGATCCTGATACATGAGAGATTCTCTGCCAATCCGGCCCCCTAACGGTGCCACTTTATTTTAATCATGATTTTTTAATACATTTTTAGCATCAGAGGGCCGGATCACGGTGGTTAATTCTTGGCCTTAATCACCACGGCATTTTCATTATCCTCCAGACCTATGTTTCAGGGTACTCAGGCATTAACCACTGTTTTGCTGAGACATTTTAGTTCACTGTATATCTCCAAAAAGAGGGAGAACCTGTTATAGACAGAAAACTACACTGAGAGAGTTGGGACAGATTAGGTGGGCCACCGTAATCTCAAATTGCCTCAAGGATGTGCCAAATCGTGTAAATGCTACAGTACGGGGAGAGTGACCATGAAGTGAACTCTTACAGTTTTATGACAATGAAGTGTTTATTATAATTAATAATACTTACTTTACAGTTGTGTCAAATGTAACTTTTGGCTTTGGAACTGCATTTCTCTGCCAGCTAACACCATGATCTGATATTTCTGAATCAGGCGAATTTTTAGGTGATATTGGTTTTGGGCGAAGCCAGTAGATCTGTTCTTCATTTTCATCATAAGCGTCTTTGTTCAAATTAGCCTCAGCTGTAAAATCGTTCATATTATTGCACATAAAAATGTTTTCCATTCAGACTTAAACCACACCTTCGAGTTTATTTTTTCTCTCTAACGCAGCCTTGTGAATAGCATTGATAATTGTTTTCTTTGGTGAACTATCACAAACCGTATACGTTCTTCCGCTTGCGACGACAAGAAGCGGAACGGAAAATTCACAACTAGACGACGAAGACGAAAGCAATTCGACATCTGTGAGCAATTTGATCGAACGAGCAGATCTGACTGTAGCTTTTCCAACGGTGACTCTGACTTTGAACTGCCAGTTTTGTTTAAGGGTCAATATCAACCATAACACAACCCAAATGAAAAGGTGGAAAACCGCCCCGACGACACAAACGAGTACGGAACTGTCTAGCGTCGCTTTGTAAATCACAGCGAGATCGACTAACAACGGCCCTTCGACCACCGCTATTCCAAGCAAGACACACAATGCTGCACAATGTGTAAGGTAACCCCTTTCCTTTCCTTCCACACTAATGATTTTACAAGCCTTCTCATGGCTTAGAAATGCGTTAAATCTATAGCAAAAAAGAAAACAAAAGGGCAATTTTACAAAATTATATTTCATAAATTTGTAATAGCTTTAAAATTATAACTCACCTTCCATATCCGTACAAATATAAGACAAGACTAGATAATAGTATCAATGCAAGAGTTAACATGTATAATACAAGTGTCGAGTAGGGATTCAGAAGAAAGAAAGTGCTACCGAATCTTGTTGGCAAAGCTGTAAGCAGTTCACTCGGACCAATGAGATGAACCTACAATTTATATAATTTTTAGAAAAAACAAAAAATAAAATAAAATCACACTTCGTACCTTGTACAATACAGATATGCCGATGTAAAGCACTAGATTTTGAATCCCGTTTATAAACAGTTGAAAAGAGAATAGCGTCCCCCATACTTTATTCGTATTCCAAAACACTGCAGGATAACGGACTGCATAAACAAACAGTGCCAGGGCGTAATTGAAGAACTCGACCGTTACCGAACCCCATTTTTCTTCTTCTGTAACACATCAGAAACAAATTATAACGCCGTAAGCAGGTGTCTTAGCTTTGTGACAACCTTAAGTCAGCCGCTATATGGAATGGCTATCAAGGCCCAAAATGAAACATAAAATAAAACTTCTCAAAATAAAATAAATAATTTGATGATTTTAATATTAACTTTGTGTTCTTTAACAACTTTGAAGATTCTTTTTGAGTAGAACTATTTTCCACTTTTCCAAAAAGTGAATTGCCATACTCACCCCACCTCAAACAATTTCTATTTTACCTTGAAGAATGGTTCTCTAAATACTCGGCTTTTGAATCATCTGTTTGTTCCAGCCAAACTGGCTCTTAGATCCAAAAGATTTCTGCTCTACTTGATTATACAAATAAAATATACAAAAACTTGATCATTCAAAGGATTTGTTGACTTAACCAATCATGATCTAAACTTGTCCCCTATCAATTTAATTTCTTCAAACTTAGGTGCAGTCCATAATCACTACCCTCCTCAGAGAGATGGTTCTGTTGAGCGCTGCTCACTGTGCACCTCCTGGAACACGACAGGCAAATTGTCTGTCCAATAAATAACGAAAGTCGAGGAGGGAAGTTTGGTGCCAATTCAGTTCATCAAGCTATGGGACACCATAATATGTTCTACACTGTTTGCTGGAATTCCATTGACATGCGACCAAGGCTGCGTAATGGAAACTCCTGAGAATTGGGAGTTATTGCGAGGCTCTAACCCTTGCAAGAAGGAATTTGACCATCTGGCCTAAAAGTTTTTTCTTTTCCTTTCCTCCCCTACCCTATATAAATAAAAGTGTATAAAGAGAACAATTTGAAAAGCAAAGACAGTTAAATCGAGAAGAGCAGTCAAGCAGCCACGGTCAGTTGGGGACTCAGCAAGATAATCCGCCAGCAACGACCTAGCCATTGCGATAAGTCAAATTTGAAAACTGGTGTTAGCAAGCATTGTTAGGGATAAGTCCTCTTATGAATAAGCCCATTCCCAAAGTGAGAGTTGTGGCTGACTTGCCTTGGTTGTTTGTTTAGTACAATATTAAGACAGCCAGTGTAACAATAAATGTTTACAAAACTCTCTGGTTTTATTGTATTTTGATACCGTACCTTCCCCCCCGCACAAAAAGTAAGTAGTTAAACGCATATGCTAAATGTCTTATCGTTTAACTTCTTGGCACCTGCTTACATTGCATTTATGAAAAATTAGACTTGGAAAAACTTTTTCTAGTTTTGACTAAACAACAAATTGAAGTAATATAGAAGTTCTGAAAGCACTTACCAGGATATGTTGGTTCTTGCTGGGATGTGAACTTCATTGCTTCAGGCATAGCAGACAATGTAGTAAAAGAAGTGAAAGGTGTTGGTTTTGATATGTTGAGTTCATTTTCTTTGTTACTGGGTGCAGTAACAAAACTTAATACCATCAATCTATCATATGAAGCGAGCAAGAAGTCTAAATCAGTTTTCCACACATAATCTGAAAAATCATTTAATATAAAAAATAAATAAAGTAAAAAAAACAACAAAAAACAAAAAATACCTCGTTGTAAAAAATTGCCTTCTATTAGCCTTGCTTTTATCAAAAGGTTTGGCAGTAATAATGAAAATGCAATAACGATATGTAGAAATGGCGCTGTAGGCCCTCCGTGCCTCCAAAGGGTCATGACTCCTCCGGGACCTTTGGCAAGCGAATCTTCTGGATTGAGTCCACATGTGCTCAGCGTTTGTCCAATCTTAAAACCATCATTGGCTAAATTGCCAATCTTAATGAAGCTGCATGCGAGGAAGAACGGCAAAAGGACGATAGCAAGGGCCGTAAGCGCCAGACATGCCTTAATTTCCAATAAAGACAATTCATCGTTTTCCCAAGGCAGTTCAAGGCATTCTAAAGACAAATTAAAATTATTTCTACTAAAATATATATTTAAAAGTATTAAAATATATTTTGAATTAATTATATTAAGTTTATTCAGATTAAAAGTCTACCTAGTAAATTCTTTTTCTCCTCACATAAAAAATATATCATACTACACATTGGTTTTATATGCCAAATCAAATGCCAACAGGAAGGAAAAGGCTACATTATCTAGGAAAGTTATATCTGTACTATATTGCTGATGATATTGGTTTATTGAACTTTTCCTAAGCCAATTTCAACTTGAAACAAGGGGTGGCAGTTTCTTTCTTCTTATTGCATACCCTAGAAATTGGATCATCGTTGCAACCATTTTGCTAGATGCTTTCTCAAATGCCAATGAAGTTTTAACATGCTTCAGAAAAATAGAACAAAAAAAAGAGTTCATCATCAGAAGAACAATGTTGACAAGAGGAGACGGAGACAACAACACATTCTTTGCAAATGCTCAATAAGAGGAATGGCTGGCAGATATGAAAGCCACTCCTGAACAATAACATTATTGATGAAGATGACGCTACTAGGAAGCAAAAGTTTGATGTTCTCCAAGCACTGCAGCCTTTTGGCTTATTGTTCCTTGTTCATTTCAGTTCAATTGACTTGATCCTTCTTTTAACAAGTAGGTCAATGACTGTTTTTGCTGCAATTATTTTTCCCTGGGTCTTCTTGGTACCCTAGGTTATGACTCCATTAGAGAGGGTTCTTGAATCATTAACTTATTATCTCTGGCACCTCTAGAGGTTATTATTTTGTCTTGATTGGACCCATTAAGAAATGGGTCTATGTTTGATCTTGTAATTTTGATTATAGGTACTGGGCAATATGGTCTTGTCTGCCTGTTCATTACCCAGAATTATATATATAATAATCATATATATATCTTATATGAATGAGGAAATGTATTTATCAGCGTGACTGTGAAGTGTGAGAGGGCTGATGGAGGTTTGAGTACTGCACAGGCCATCAATTATGTTATGCTGGGTCTCCTCCACTTTAATGGTATCTGAAATGACTTAGCATCAACAGCCCCTGGAACCTAACTTCATCGGACGGACAAGACTGAGGTCTGACTCCAGACTGACAAAACCCAAGGTAGGTGATTCTTACTTGCGTATGTACTTTTCCTAGTTCCTTGGTTCAATTCAATTGACTTGATCTTTCTTTTAAGAAGGAGGTTGAAGCTGAATATGGGTTGCAGTATCTTCCTCATTGACCAGTATAGAACCCTATAACCCTATGAGTTTATTATGTCTGGCACCTCTGGAGTTTGTCCATTCCTCTTTTTGTTTTTTGGAATCCCATTCAGAGATAGTAAAGTGTGTTTCATCTTGTTTTCACAATTATAGGTTATACGGTCTTCCAGATTCCCCTCTGATCAGTTTGTCTGCTTTATCATCACTGAGAATTACCTTGTGCAAAGCACCCAAGATTAGGTCGTTATGATTCCACAAGTTTTGGGTGTATTCGTCTACTATTGTGAGTGTGACATTTTTATGTGTGAATGCTTTCAATTGACTCAATCCTTCTTTTGAGAAGGAAAAGGTCATCCTGATACCTAGGTTATGTTGAGGTTGAGCTGTTACTTCGCATTCCAAGATAGTATGGCAGTTTCTTCCTCCCCGTTGCATAACCTATAGGGTGTTTGGAAATTATATATATCCACGTACTTTTCATATTGTTCTATTGTATTTTACATTTCTATTGTATTTCCTTTTGTCTTCATTGAGTAGTAGTTTCAAATTTGAAGATAGCATGAGTTCTATCCTGTCTAACTGTAGCATTATGTTTGCCGGTTTAACCATGATTATATCTGGCCTCTGTAGAGTTTATCCATTTTTACTTTTTTTGACCCATTTTTTTGTGTTTTGGTGGACATAATAAGAGATGGGATAGTATGTTTGATCTTGTTATCCCAATTATTGGTTCTGGGTCTTGCATATTCTCCGCTAGCCAGTTTGTGTGCTTGTTCATTCATTATACCTAAATTCCTCTGTGCCTTGGCACTTAAAATATTGTTTTTCCCATGTGTTGGCGGTTTTAGATGTGTTGGATTAATTTTTAGGCCACATGGCTGTCTGATCTTATGAGGATGTTTTGTGAGTGTATCCTCTTTTTAAGATCTCCCGTGGCAAACAAGGCATGGCGAACACGAGAAGCTCCCGAAAACACATGGATTATGTCAAACCACATGTTTTTCGAATCGTGCATAAAAATAAGATTAGTCCCCGGGAATAATAAGAGCGCACCCTCTATGCCACTATCGAGGGGTGTTGATTTACAACCACTTTGCTGTGGGGGTCCACCCTCGCGTTTTCTTTTACTCTTTCACTATGGAATACCCACATTTTAATATTTTTCGTGTTTACACTTTCTATCCAATTTTCGCCCCTTAACCTCCTAAAATTAATCACCTTTCATTATAAAAAACGTCATAAAAGTTATCCTTTGTTAACAAATTGAAGGGAACTTTTTGAATAATTTGCAAAAATATTTACAATCTCGAAGATGAAATATGTTGAAAGGGGGATAAATTCATTTACCCAAGAGCTTCTTTGAAAGATTTATGGCGAGGTAAGCTTGGAGAGCGGTGAACGTGAGGCCGTACCATATCGAAGAGAGTGTATTTACGTGCACTTTGCAGACGGTACGCTTCACATCTTCGGCTTCCTCCTCCGGGGGGTGGAGACGAGCTCCTTCTTTGTGCTCGACTCCTGGCATTCCCTTCTACCTTTCAGCCATAGCACTGAAACAAAATACAAAAAACAAATTTAAAATTTGAACGAAAAACCATTCTACAAAGTTCATAGTTTGACACATTTTCTTATAAATCATAAACAAGCCGTCCCATCTAGATTACATTATTGAAACGGATTAAAATTAAGACACCTCATATTCCCGAATCAACTGAGGAAAGAATGGCTCGACTGAAGAATGCTTTATTGCTTATGATTGCATCAGAATTGACCTGACCTAGGTTGTGCGATGCTGGGAGAAAAAATGATGAAATTTATGCTGGACCAAATAACTTACGAACATGAGCCAAGTTTGGTTAATTCCCAGTTTGGTTGAACCTTGCACATTGGTCATTGGCCGAGAAATGCTTGACCACAATACGTGAGACTTACCTGCTGGCAAAAAGGCAAGAAAATTGGCTTTTGATTTTATTTATTATTATGATTATGATTATTATTATTTTTATGATCCTTTTAGAGTATACATTGTGAGGCAACACGCAACATTGTCAGTAAATACAGTGTATGAGTTCGTATTTAAAAAAATAAAGAAAAAAATGATAAAAATGTACAAAACTAGTTTACTCTTTTGGAAGAGAGGAATGAAGGAAGAGGGGAAGAGATAAAGAGAGATAGAGTGAGTGAGTGAGTGAGAAAGAGAGAGAGAGAGAGAGAGAGAGAGAGAGAGCTTGATAAAGGACAAGAAAAAGAGAGGAAGTGAGCAAGAAAAAGAAAATGGTAAAGAGGGAGTGTGTGAGGGCGAGAGATAGAGGGGAAGTGACAGAGAAAAGAGAGAGAGAGAGAGGGGGGTGACTGAGTGATTGAGTACGAAAGTGAGTGAGATAGAAAGCGAAAGAAAAAAGTGAGTCAGTGAGAGCGAGATTAAGAGAGGATGTGAGTAATAAAGAGAAGAGCTGATTGGAAAATGAGAGAGAGAAATGTATAAAGGACGAAAAAAAGAGATTAAGTGTGCAAGAACAAGAAAGAGATAAAGAGGCAGTTAGTAAGGGCGAGAGAAAGAGAGAGAGAGAAAATGAGTGAGATAGAAAGAGAAAAACAAGAGAGCGAGTGAGAGGGAGTTTAAGAGAGGGAGTGAGTAATAAAGATGGAAGTCATTGAGAAAAAGAGATAGAGGGGAATGGGACAGAGTGAGAGCGAAAGAAAAAGACGAATTGAGTGAGAAAGAGAAAATTTCTGTTCGATATATAAACTTTATGTGCAATCTACAATAAAAAAAAGAAAAAAAAATACCGTCCTTATTCTTTTGAAACTCCCGAAATGGCCAAAATTTGTACTAACTATTTGAGACAATGTACAACCATTTTAGTTTACCACGAACGCGAAGGATTCAAGATTGTCTAAGAGGGCAATGTTGAATTGTCCACTGAACCACCCAGGCCTGCGAGGGTCAGATTTCAGTTACTCGGCTTGCAAGTTTCTGCCGTCTGGCTAATTATTTTGCCTTATTTTCCTTCTTCCCGGAGGAACGTTTTTACTCGAAAATGCTCCACGCGGTTCGTTGTTATGTCCAAATTAGTTCCCTTGTATTTGAACAATGAACACTCCGCCTGAGGACAGCACAGTTACATTAATGACAGCTGGGGGTGAGGGGGGTAGCCTCCTCAATTCCAGTTTAATTAGACCTTTGATTCACTGGCAGACGTGATTTGAAGAAAATCCAATTTTCAAGCTCTCGGCAATATGCAATCGAGCTCTTATTTAACACCGTGGGGTTTAAATAATTCGAAATGTTCCATGATAAAAAGAAAAAAAAATGAAGGAGTTTCAATCCGAGCTCCCTTAATCCGGCGAAGAGACCAGACCTCGCTTCTTCGGATTATGACTCGTTACTTAGCTCAATTTTCATGCGGTCTGTCTCAAGGCTAAGGGGAAAAAGTAAAAGCGCCATATGCAGCCAACTACGTTTCTTTTCTCCCTTAGGGTTTTTAATTTATTAGCCTCACCCCCAAATTAAAGCTGTAATTAAAAAAGTAAATAAGGCAAACAGCATCGGAATAAATTTATAATCAACGGGTCCGACAAATTTAAGAAGTTCATGATCTGTTAAGAGACCTATCAGCCAATGGTAATTTTTAAAAAGATGTTTTTCTGCCTATTTTGTGCACGTATGGCAAGGCAAAAAAGTTCGTAGTAAGCACCCCATAAAGCCTCTAGATACGAATTTTTATAGCAAACAAAAAATAGACATTTTCGAACTGGTTTTTGCCGGGTCCAATTTTTGTTTTTCTGATGTGCCATGTTCCACTTAAAAATTCATAATCCTCTGAATTTTAACTAAACTGTGCAGTATTAGAAGCTAGAATCCGTTGGAAAGGCTAAATTTCTCCTCTTTTAGTCTACACTGAGAGGCAAAAAAGTGGCCACCCTTAATATTTTTTTCAATTAATTAAGGTTTTGGTTGAGATAAAAAAAGACAGTGTCACAAGCGGTATTCGAACCCAAGACCTTCGGCTAAATGCACCGCTATTTGAGCTATCGTGACTTCGATCCACTCGTACACCAACTTCCCACCTCAAACCAACCTTTGGAATTTTCCATCCTTTTGCCATTTTTAAATGTCCGAGTGAATCGAAGTCACGATAGCTCAAGTGGTAGAGCAGCGGCGTATTTAGCCGAAGGTCGTGGGTTCGAATCCCGCTCGTGACACTAACTTTTTCATTTCAACCAATACCTTACATTAAAAGGATTAATAATTGAAAGAAGTCATTTGGTTAATTAGACCACGAAATATAATGGAGTTAACACTTCAGTCGGAAAGCCGAATCTTTCTACTAAAGCCTTTAGCAAGAGGGTTTGGATTTTTCATCACAGTATCAGCGAGAAAATATGTTTGAAATCAACAAAAAACTATGAAACGTTTTATTTTATACCTGCAGTTCCGTTTTATTTAAGATTACCGGGGGTTTCCTCCCTTAGGTGTAGTTTATAGGTCTCTAAACCCTTGTCAAGTTTCCTCTAGAATCGGCGGAGTTGTTTCAAAATTATCGCAAGTTTTATGATTTTTAACAGAAAATCAGATTGGATGTCGTAAAATATGCGATCCCCCCCTCTAAAAAGTCGTATTCAGAGGTGCTTTTGGAATGAGGAAAACAAATATCAACTTTCTTGTTAAAAAATGATTTAACCTACTTTGCTTAGTCGCTCGATCACAGATTCCAAAATGCCTAATGTTTTATTTAATTTTTGTTTCTCTGATGTGTGGTTTCTACTTAAAAATTCATAACTCATCTGAATTTTATCCAAATTCAACAGAATTATAAACTTCATTAAATTCACTAATTTCGTGGTCCTCTTGACCAATTAATATATTACAATTAATTAAGGTTTTTAGTTGAGATAAAAAAGTCAATGGCACGAGCGGGATTCGAACCCACGATCTTCGGCTAGATACGCCGGTGCTCTACCAATTGAACTATTCAAATTTTTTGAAAAATGGCAAAAAGGAGGGAAAATTGAAAAGGTGGGGTTGAGATGGGAAGTTAGTGTCCGAGTGGATCGAGATCACAATACCTCAATTGGTAGAGCAGCGGTGTATCTAGCCGAAGATCGTGGGTTCGAATCCCGCTCGTGCCATTGACTTTTTATCTCAACTAAAAACCTTAATTAATTGTAAGAATTATAAAAGTTGGAAAGCTGAATACCTACTATTTCGGCCTATCAAGGTTTGCATTTTACTTTATTATAATTGAGAAAAATAAGAATGAAACAAAGAAAAAAAAACCTCAAACGTTTTATTTTGTTTCTCTGGTCCTGATTTATTTAAAGAGACCAGGTTTGCGCAATTACATGCTGGGTAAAACGTTCTAAACTTCTGTAAAGCTTCCTGACGATGTGTAGAGTCGTTTTCAAGTTTGTCACTATTTTCTGAGATTTTAGATAAAAGCTGGATGATTTTGGAAGATGAAAAATTTAAGAAAATTTTTTTATTTTTGGATTTTCGTACAAATTTGTATTCAGATTTTTTTTGAGGTGCAGAAAACGAATATCAACTTTGATTCTTGCTAAAAAATATATATACATAAATTTTAACAATTATGTATACCAATAAATACAATACTCTAGCTACCAGTCAATGCCAATAGTCTAGCTACCAAATATTGTTTTTTCTTTTTTTAACTGGTAGGCACTCTTAAGGAAGAATAGGTGTAAGAAGAAAAACATTAAAAGTTACTTCAATTGGATAAACTATTTTTTTCTCATTGTTACGTTGGGACTATATATTTAAGTACTTGGGGGATGCAGTGCAATTTAAAGCTAGTATACTCGCCATGCCAACTTTAGGATAAAGCTGCTGATTTTCTTCATATTCCTTTTACTTATTCTTGTTTATTCTCTTTTTGAAGAAATGATAGAGTTTTGTCAGTGAAAAACAAACGACAGGTCAAAATGTTTGTAATAGACCAAACCAGAGAGGATAGACGTACCAAAATGTACGATAAACGAGGAAACTAGGGGTTCATCTCCCTTCAGACTCCATGAAGATACTTCACAATATTTCTGAGTCGATTTCAGAATCGTCTTCTTTTGAATATTAACAAATGCAAGGTAATTAAATTTTCTAAAAATATCCGACTTTGATCCTTTTGACTATTTCGTTGATGGGCAGAGATTGGAAGAGGTTGACACTATCTCCGACCTTGGTGTCGTTTTCAGCAGAAAGGGTGATTTCAGTGACCATATCAAAAGATTCGAGGTAAGGCTCTACGCAATCTTGGCTTTATTACTAGGTTTTCTAGAGATTTTAAAAACATCTTGGCAGTTAAAATATTATATCAATTCCTCGTTCGTAGCCATCTGGAATATGCCAGTGTCGTGTGGTCCCCTTACTACGTTGGTGAGATTAGCGACTTGGAAAAAGTACAAAAGAAAGCAACCAGGATAATGGTCTTCAGATTTGGTCTTGCACACCTGAATTTACTTGGAAAGACTGAACTGGCTTGGTCTTGAGTCGCTTAGCTCCCGCCGTATTTTTGCCGATCTCATTTGGGGT